GACGTTCCAAATTAATGGGGGAAAACTTGCGTCACACCTGACAGAGCTGCAGATTATCTTTGTGTTTCTTATCTTTCTCTTCTTTCTGGATTTCCTCCTTCAGCTGCTGTATGGACTGCTCCTTGTCCCTGACCTAGAGGTGATGAAACATACATGTTTATCGTGTTTAGGTGCAACAGCGTGTTAAACTCTAGATATCCCAGAAACGATGACAGGCGATGACATCCTGTTTTATCTAGTCTAAGTTAGTTTCTTGCTTTATTTCAATAAGGTTATAGTCAGAAAAATAAACATAAATTAGTTCTTATTAGTCTTTAAGAAAAGAAAAATCCCAAGTGGATGTTTGGCGAGTTAACAGAACACAGAAAGCGGGTGGCGTGAATTGTTTCCAAATATCTTTACGCAGGAAAAGAGTCATACCTTTCCTCTTTAAAAAGGTGGAAAGGATGGATTTTTTCAAAAACAACAACAAAAAATAACAACTGTTTCTAAGTTCAAAATATATCTAGATACATCAAAATGTATCAAGGCTAAAAATCCGCTAATCTCTTATCTTCAAGGTGAGGAAAAACCAAGGATTGAGGAACCAGGACAAAGCAAACTAGGTGGCTACGACAGATAGCTGTAGCACTAAATCAGCAGCTATGTTACTGAGGACATTTCAGGTGTTGTTTGTGAGCATAAGGTTTTCCAACTAAGAAACTGTGTTGAAGAGCGGGGTTTTCTTTAAGTACAGCGACTGCAACCTTCATGGAGAAAGTCATAAAAGTAAATCGATAACCGCTCGCTCCAATTGTTCCTCCTGCATATTTACCTACTATCAAGACCTGCAGAAGCAAGCCATTATTTTTTTAATCTCTGATCCAAACCAGCGTTTGACTGCAGCCGTCATGCTGTTGTAATAGCATAAATACTGTTTGTATAACACTATTTATTTTAACTTCCCTTGTTTTTACCACAAATAAAGAACTGGCTTAAAGACACTTTTCTGGCTGAAATTTCGGTGATGAGGCGGTCTCCATGAGTGCAACACAGCCTGATTTTGTGTAGCAAACAGAGATTTTCAGCTGCTTCCATTCACTGCTGCTGTTTCACGCAAGATGCTTCGCTCCTGCTTTTGTTTAAACCGTTTAAACTCTCGACTTCGGATGACTGTAAGTGATTATAACTAATACCGGTAAGAGTTGAACACCTCGATGTCAGACAGCATCTTACCAAACACCATGCCATTTGTTTCTTCAGGCTCTCCAAGTTCTCCTGCAAATCGCCGAAAGACGACAAGCTTTCATATCGCTCTTTCTTCTGCAGAAACTCCTGCTTCAGGTCCTTGAGACACTAAACACAAAACAAAAATGAACATATTTTTCCCTTTTTAAATTTTTTTAAGACATAGGTCACAGACATGCTAAAGCATCAGCAGCAATTTTGTCTCTTAGTTGCCTCTTAAAACAGAGCTTAGAAAATGTATCTAATTTAAGCCTCAGAAATAAGAGACTGGAAAAGGGAAAAATAAACAAATGAATAGATATTTTTATTTTAATCATATATTATATAGAAATCTATGACATTACTAAGCAGTGCTTCTTTTAACAAGTGTGTATTTTGCAGATATAAGTTGATAAACAAACAAAAGGTGAACAAAGAAAGAGGCTGCCACGTATATAAAAGATTACAGTACATGATAATCTATTAAGCGTCTTGATTTTATGTCATTTTAATAAAGATATGAAAAAAATAGAATGGATATAGAGTGGAATGAACTGAATTGAAATTAAATTAATTTGAACCAAACAGGATTCCATGAATATTTGGATATAAGCTGTAGATTGCACCATCACACCATGAATTTAACTGAATTAAGTCAAATGTATGGCAGTGTATTAAACCACAAGGTTTTAAATGTTTTACCATACTTTTGAACTGCAAAATAACTTCATAATGCGGAGACATGAAGTCATTGGTAAATATGTGGATTGGAAATCAGAACATCCATCAAACATCTGTCAGATTTATCAACTCCAGAGTGAAAGAGCCTGAGGCGATAAACGCAGGCCTGTACCTCTTCTTGCCTCTCAACCTGTTGCCGTGTGATTGTTTCAGTGTGCTTGATGTGGATGTAGTCTCTCTTCATCTGCTCCAGTAACGTTGCTTTCATGAAGAACTGGGAATGGCAAAACGACACAACTTCAGCTTGAAAGACAAAGCCCATGCAAACCGGAGTCAGTGATCTCAGAGCGAATGTGGCGCGGGACCTTGTATTTGTCCGACTCGTTTTTCGAATGCAGGAACTGTTTGCTCATTTCTTGGCTGAGAATGGACACTGGATTATCCAGCTGAAACACACGCACACACAACATAACACACAAGAACCATAACACACCAGAATATCCCTTCAAATTTAAGGAAACATATAATTGTTACCTGGATGTTAAAGTGGTCCAGAACTGCTACTAATTCTTCTTTCTTGTTTGAGACAAGTTGACCTAAATATGAAAGAACAAATAATAACCCCTTTAAGATAACTCGAATCAATTAAAATTAGTTTATATTATTATTATTACAGTAATCCACTGAAGGAAATAAGAGAAACGCGAAGATAGCCATTAATGGTTATGTTTTTTTACAGCCACCGTGTTCAGAAAGAAACATTTTTTCTGAACAAAGCACAAATAATATACGTATTTTTGTATATTGCATGTCCACATTTAATTAAAAGCGTAAAATAAAAAATCTGTATAGCAGCATTAGGTGTAAATATCTCATGTTACGACACAATATCAATGTCAATTTATTCTCGAGGCAAAATTCACTCTTGAGTTTGTGCTTTCTTCTTCATCACGCTGCAGTTTGGCATTTCAAAATCCACTGGTAAAAACTCAGTTTTGGTTTTGGTTAAATAAATGTAACTATGGTGTAAAAACTGTCTATGTCTGTGAAAAAAAAAAATCACCTGATTTGCTTTTGAGCTTGTATCCGCGAGATCCATCGCTGGAGATGCGTTGTTCAACGGTGATGTAGTCGCCATACAGATCCTTCTTGTAGGCATCTGCTCCTCTGTTTCTCAGCTTTACAATAACATCTGCAGTACTAAGCAGACAAAGAGACCCCACCCCCATGACCTTCTGGATGGAAAGAAAAGTATAGCAGCCAGTCAGAACCATCATCAACTTACCTTTCTCCAGTTTTCACGAAATCCTTCAGCGACACTCCCCTGTTTGTCATGGTGGCCTTCCCACCGAGGCCAACAATCAAGCCGGTCAGAATTGCACTTTTTCCACCTGGGAATGGAAACGCCACCAACAGAGAAAAGGCTCATGAATCAGTGTAGGGTTGAAACGATTCCTCGAATGATTCGAGTACCTCGATTATTAAAATTCCTCGAGGAAAACTTATCTGCCTCGAAGCTTCGTTAAATTATGGGGGAGAGAGAGGCAGAGAGAGATGCAATTCCTCGGATAATCATAAAAAATATCATCTACATATAGTTTCTGTACAAAGAAATACTATAATATTGTAATTCAATTAAGCGGTAAAGAAGGAGCATTTGTTGTGCCATTTAGCTGTTACTTTTATTGCTAAATTAATCAGGTTCCTCAAACATGGGCCTTGCTGAAAATACGCCTATATGTGTAAAACACACCAATTGTAATTAGCAACGTAACATTTTAGCGCATCAAAAGGCGCAAAGCATGAACTTACTCCCATTGTTGCCCACAATAAAATTGACATGGGGCCCAAACTCGACTGGTCCAAAAGAGTGGTGGCACATGAAATTTTTTAAAGTGACGCTTTCAATGAGTCCAATGTCCCCCTGCAGCCAGAAGAAAAGATAAAACAGTCAACAGATAATGATAGGGAAAGGCACAAAACACGACTTGAGGTTTAAATATATATAAATACATATCCTACCGAAGGGGAAGGAGTGAAGACGTGTGAAGATAATCCCTGGTGCTTTGTGTCCGTTGCATTTTCAGCACCTGCAGCCGTCACTCGCCTGTTCTTCAAAGTCGATGCATCAATAATCACGCTGGCTTTTCGCTTGCTCATTTTGAAAGAGTCACTGAAAATACAACCGAGCACATCGGGTTTAGTTCAAGAGTTTATTTCGATTAATGTAAAGCTGTGAAAAAGAATAATGGCCAGTTTTGAACGTGAATATATGGTGTTGGTGTTACCATATATTCATATTATTATGCTCAGGAGTGAATATGTGTCACTGGAACTAAATCTGAGGAAATGTGAAGAAGCTTATTGCAGCAGGAAAACAAAAGACAAATGTAGCTGGGGAAGGAAGGAGGTGACAGCAGAGTTTCAACTAAACTGTATTGAAAAGTTCACACTCTGCTGCGGGTTAATATGCAAAAATTAGAAGCCACCACAAACTTTTGGCTATAATTAGTCACAAAAGCCAGTCCTCCAAACAGTGAATGTGGGGGAAAAGCTAAAACAAGCGATTTGCTGTGAAGCAGGAAGCCAGGGCTTCCTAGAGATTCACACAAATGATGAATTGAGCACGTGTGTCTTGAAAACAGGGACTAACTGAGCCCAGTTACATGTCACTCCGAGCAGATGATGCTGTTTTTCCACCACACACCACATCTGTCCAAGCGCAAAAACAGCCAGCAGAGCAGGCGTGACCCGAACCAAAACATAATCACAGGACTCGTACCTTGTTTCGGCCGGTCCTCGGTTCCTAAACCAACAGCAGAAACTCACTTACCATCATTCAGCAGCCTGCAGCCGTCCACAATAACATGGGGCCACAGGGGGCTGCTCCGCACTTCCTGCTCGGACTGAATGGAGGAAACCACAGCAACACGGAACTGAGGGCGCGGCCTCTGATTGGCTGACGGCGCACCTGCGTGAGCGCGCGCGCGTCTGGCAACAAGTAGCGTCGTTGTCGTCTGTTTTTGTTTTTTTCCAATTGGGTGGCGTACGCCCTCGAACCATGAGAGTGCGCAAAACGCGACTTCTAAAGCAGCCTCGATGACGTACTATCAAGGTGCCGACCGAAGCCTTTAAAAAGCCGCGTGAGCGCAGCGCGCGAGCGTCTCTCCGTACCGTCGGTTCCAGTCCAACGAGAGGAGCAGGATGAATCGAGCCGCCAACAATGGTGAGGCAAAGGTGGCCAAACGTCTTAAAGGTTTAGAATGGTCAAGTTTAAAAGTAGCGCTTGAAGCCCCCAGGTGGCATTTGTTATCGTTTATGAAAAATGTGGGAGTAAGATTATGTTAAAAGTGTTTATTTTATTTTAATAAGCTGTGAATGAAATTAGCGAAGTAGTCCGGGAAAACCGGTTTCTCTCTAAAACATATCAAATCAAATCAACCCAAAAATGACTTGAAAGGAAGTTTGTCTCATTTTTGTCCAGAAAGACCGTCTTGTAACTGGACATGCACCATTTGTCTTTGGAAAAGCTTGCCCAGGTTTGCGTTTAAGGAAAAGTTGATCAGTGTCTGTGGTCCAATTTGCATTTATTTAAGTGGAAGCAAAAGCATGATTAAATAAAGGAAAATGTTTAGTTTTTTTAAGTTTTAATTTTAAGAAGATTTTAATATCTCCTATTAAAATATTAGCCACACTACAATTGTAATTAAAATGTTTCCAAACATGTTACTCTTTCTAAACTACCTCATCGGAAAGAAATATTTGACTTTTTAACTATTTAAAAGCCTGTGTGCTTACACAGCCCCCGTCTTTTTAAGGAGACGAAATGCAGACAATTTGGGTTGGTAAGCAATGGCTCAACAAATGAAATTTCAGTGGGACATATTTCTGGCACTTTTTTTTTTTTTTTTTTTTTTTGCATAGCTTGGTTATTTTCGGTTAATTCAAGGAACTAAAATGAAAATATGAAATTTCTGAAAATGTCACAGGGAATTTGTTACAAACTTCGAAAATTTGAATCATAGCCAATCCGGATTTAAAAATATACAAAACAAATGACATAAATGTCAGTTCAGGTTTTGTGTTTGGTGTTTGTCAGTTTTAATCAAAAATCAGTTGTGGACAAACAAAAGTTTTGTTTCTGAAATTTAGTTTCTTTTAAAATGAAATATGACACGTTTATATATGCACAGTGTTTTTTTGTTTGTTTTTTTGAGTTTACAAGTGCAGTCTTTTTCAAATTCTAGCTAACGACAGAATAATTTATTTTTCACTCTCTTCTGCACTGTTAAATTTCATCAAATTTAGCTAATATTACCATGTGCTGGTATTGCTGCATGCACTGATGTGTATTTTTTTGTATCAACAGGATTCAGTCCATCGTCGAAGCCTGAAGATCCAACGTTCTTGCGACTGAATGCACAAGCTTTCCAGTATTGCCTATTTAATGTGCAAAAACCCATCAGTCCCAAATGGACCATTTCTGCACGAAGAGACTTCCAGAACTTTATGAGCTTGGACTCTGTGTCTGGCACTGGATTAAAATATGTTAGGAAGACCGTAACATCTGAAGCTGATCTGGAACTGAATGTGGTAAATCTTTCTCAAACTGGGAGTCAAAGTCCCCCAGAAGTCCCAGTGGATGAATATAACTACTCTACACACAATATCAAAGTGGGTGGAGAAGAGAAGATTCTGGTGACATTTTCTGAATCGGTCCATCACTTCTACTGCCAATTGGACAGAAATCTGACCATGTTGGAAAAACTCTGCAAAAGTGTTGCACTGCTACCTGACAAGCATCAAAGCTCAGATTGTCCTCTTGGACTTAATAGCATTTGCTTAGCCAAGTATACTGATGATCAGTGGTACAGAGGTCTCATAGTTGAAAGATCCCCAAATCTCAAGGTGCACTTTGTTGACTATGGGGACACTCTTGGTGTTCGTTACACCGATATTCGACCCTTGCCCCCTGAAGCAAGTATCGCCAGGTCTGTTCCTGTTCAAGCTGTTCCACTCGGGCTGTTCAATGTTCCTGCAGATTTATCACTGGAAATCAACGAGTGGTTTGCCACCCATGCTGTGGGGAACAATTTCACCATTTCAGTAGCAGCAAAAGGGAAGCAGGGGAAGTTGTTGGTTGAACTGTTCGATGGATCACTAAATGTAAATGCCTTGGTCAGGGAAAAGGTGACAAAAATAAGACGGCCAAAGATGACTGCTGTGATTTCTAACACTAAGGATGAAAGGACTACTCTGCCGAATGAGAATCATTCCCAACCTGAACTCACCAGATCATCAATGTTAAAGAACGACACTGGCCCAGAAATGCAGGGCAACAAGGAAATGTCTCCCAAATATTCTTCTTCACCAAAGGTGGAGCAAGTGAAGGATCCAGACATCATTCTTGAGAACAATAAAAGCTGCCGGGTCACGGAGACTGTAAATAATAGTTTCTTCGGCAACTTAGCAATGACAAATTTTTCATCCCACAGTTACCCAAAGCAAAATGCAGAGGGTTACATGTACAACTGGCCAAAGATTTCCCAAAACATGGCTGTGGATGCATATGCTTCTTGCATTTCAGGCCCACATTACTTCTGGTGTCAGCATGCCAACACAGAAGACCTTGACAAAGTGTCACGTCTCGCTAATGAGTTTGCAAAAGCACAAGACGTAATTTCACCTGAGCATCTTAAACCTGGTGTTCCCTGCCTTGCTCTGTTTTCAGAAGACAACAAATGGTACAGAGCTCAAATAACTCAGAACTCAGACCAAACAGTCCATGTCTTGTTTGTTGATTATGGCAATGAATGTGATGTCAAGAAAAAAGATGTAAGATTGCTGTCTCAAAACCTGCTAAAGATTGCTCCTCAGGCATTTCTGTGTCGTTTGGATGGTTTCATGGAGTCCAATGGCTTTTGGGATAATGAGGTCTACGATGACTTCTACCATCTCATAGTTGACAAACCACTTAAAGTAACAGTTTTGGCTGTAGAAAGTCATTCAGAGAATGGTGTTCCCCAACAAGCAGTAACCACAGAATGTGACAAGATTGTGGTTAACAAGGTCATTCAAAAATACTGGAAATCATTTTCTGGAGAAGATTCTGGAAATATTGTGGCAAAAGATTTTCAAGCCAGCAACAGCAAGGATAATCTTGGGCCCTCCAAAGAAAAAACATTCTCCACATACAAGCAGCCAGAAGTGTTCAGAACTAAAACCGAAACGGTGTACGCGTCCTGCATTGCAGAGCCAAAATTCTTCTGGTGTCAGTTTTCCAATATGGAGGATTTATGTGAAGTGTCCCAGTTAGCCCAGGAAGCTGCTAAGGCAGAACAGGATGTGACGTTCCTTCAAGGTCTTGGACCAGGGAGCCCATGTCTCGCTTTGTTTCCTGATGACAAGCTATGGTACAGAGCGATGGTAGTCCAGAAAGACAACAGAACGGTACATGTCCTGTTTATTGACTATGGAAACGAGTCGGACGTTGACACCCAAGACACAAGACCTTTGCCTCAGGATCTTCTGGAGAAGGTACCGCAGGCCTTTCTTTGTTGTTTGATTGGATTTGATGAGTCTAAAGGCTCCTGGAATGACCAAGCTTATGACAACTTCTACAAGCTTGTGGTTGATAAACCCCTTAAACTGACTGTGTTCAGTGCAGAGAGCCATTCAGAGATGCCAGTCCCTCAGTATGCAGTGGAAGTTGAATGCGAGTTGGTATCCATTAATGCATCACTGCAACATTACTGGAAACCACTTACAGAAGAAAGTGCTGTGACAGAGAAACTATAGACAATCAGCTCCTCATAAGGTGTCTTAGCAGAATGAAGCATATCCAGAAGTATGATGGTTTTTTGATGTTCCCTTATGGGTCAGTGTGTCTGCCCAGAAGATCTGAAAGAGTTGTGACTTGCAGTCACATCCTCGTCTGATAACGGACTTGCATATGCTTCTCAGGGAATCCTACATTCCTATTTCTTCTTGTCTATTAAAACTTGTGCAAAACCAAATAAAGAAGTTCATGAGCAAATTAATTAAAAAGCCTATGATTGCATTTTGTCTTCTGTTGGACAGACCTCAGATTTGACTCTGTAATTGGTCTCATAGATTTGCTTTCTGTAGAAAATTATTGAATCCTAAAAGATATGGTTCTGACCATTTGAAAGGTAAAACAAGTTTCTCATTAAGCAAAGTGGTGTGCAGAATGAAAATGTTTATATACAGTACATAGATAGTGAAGTACCCACAAGTGTGCTTCATTTATGTGGCTTCTAGAGTCAATTGGTTGCATTGCAGTGGGTGTCAGAGTAAAGGAAGCTAAATACTTTTTTTTCTTATGGTAAAGTAATCTTTTTTTCTATCTCTTTATATGTGTCACTTTTTATTGGTCCATCATCAAACCAAATATAGAGAAACAAAGAAAGTAACTTATTTTTGCTGCTTTCTCACAGCAAAATATTAGTATTAAATACTCAAAATATTAGCACATTTATGAGCAGCACAAAGGTTGAATCTTTCTCCACAAGTAGAAATGTACTTATTTATACATTTCATCCCGATTTCACACGTTTCAGTGTAAGCAGCCCTACACTACAAATCACTTAAATGCGCCGCGCCTCCTCCGGTCTGTCCAGCAGGTGGCGCCATCCCCTTTCTCGTGCTCGGACGAAGACGCCGCCATTTTGCATTCGGAAGCCGTTGCCGGGCAACTCCAGAACAATGACAGAGCTGCACCAGGTGGTAGCTGCGGGAGATTTTGACAAGGTGAAGGAGTTGGTGAAGAATCCGAAGTGCAATCCCAATTTCAAAGACGTCGACTGGAGCTGCAAAACCCCTCTGCACTGGGCAGCTGCTAATGGTGGGCGCTTTAGAAGGAACTTCACCTTCTACCTCCAGCTCTTTCCTTCCTGCTGTCTCAAGTTACACTTGTCCTTGTTCCCTCTTGACGCACGACGGAAGAACCGACTCTTCCAGCGCTTCTCTCTTTTTTCATGAAATGCACATAAAGATATCTTTTTGTAGTCTAAAGCTTGTCTTTTGTCTTATCAACTTCAGTTGCATGGTAAAAAAAAAACTATTGTTTTGCTTCTAAGATCTCTCTCTATTAAAAAAAAAAAAAAAAAACTATGTCCAGCACCTCAAGATGAAGACTGCCCAGGAATAACAATATGACCACTAACAGGTGAAGTGAAATGTTAGACATGCAGGATACATCAGACTTAAATAGCAATAAGCATTAAATACCACAGTGCATCCAAAAGGAATTCACAGACAAATCCTGATATTGATATAAGAGGAAAAGAAAACATGGAATCCACTGCAGGACTGACCATGAAGCGAGTAAATTATGTATTTGATAGCAGATAAATTGATATTATACACGCAGGAACGTTAAAGGCTCTTATTTTACTGACCTGGCAGCAAGAAAACAAAGTTTTTCCTTTGTTTCCCTTAGATATTAGTTTAAACATAATCTATTATGTTGCATAATAATAGTCTCACTTATCAGGTTAGACGTTGATTGAATTCTGCCACAGTAAATGTGCATTTTGGAGTGGCCTTTCATGCAATCGCTGTTGATGTGTTTTGCTGCCTGGTGGTTCTGCTTGAAAACAAGTTCAAGTATTTTTGAAGTTCTCAAGATACTTGCGATTCCAACTACAATCTACAAACTGACTTGCCTACAACTAAGCAAATGTTTACAGTACGTCCCATTTTTTCCCCCCCGCTGTTTTTTATTCACGTTAGAAAAAAAGTGCAGCAGGAAAGACTAAATGAAAAACAAAACTGCAGTATTAGATTGATCGCTGCACTCCATCACACCCAAAATAGTTCATGAAAAGGGTCTCAAATTTTGTGCTACTGCTAGTTACATAGGAACTGAATTTGGTTATTAACGTGGACAGTGGTGTCCGTCAGTTGCATTTACGTCCGTCACAAACAGGTCATCATTTTATGCTGCAACGGTGTTGATTTCAGGGGTAATTTTAACCAAGTTTACTTTGTTCTTTATTTGCACTGGCAAAAAAATGGTTCTTAGTGCAGACTTTTGCCGTTTTTTCAAATTCAAAATGGCATGCAATTTGATCTATTTAAATTATAGTCTAAAACGTGTCCTAATGAGGCAGTCCAGTGCATTAAATACAGAAAGGTTTAAGAAGAGGGTATCAATATCAGCCTGTAAGGTTACCCTGTGTTCTAGCTTTATCCACATAAAGGATGAAGTGTGGTTTAATGTTTTCTAATTCCTACAAATGTCTTGCTTCCATTGCATTTAACCAATGTTTCTTCTTCAGCGCCTTGTGGAGTCGTAAGATTCACTATAAAATCTATTAGTTTGTGTTTACATGTCCGGATTTAAACTTTTGTTTTGTTTGTTTGTTTATTCTGTGGTTTAGGAAACTCTGTATGGCATTTTTCTTTTTTTCCTCAGGAGATACAGAAATCGTCAAGGTTCTGCTAGAGAACGGAGCCAATCCGTGTCTGAAGACGGTGCACGGATGGACCCCTGCCCACTATGCTGCAGAGTCCGGTCATCTGGCCGCGCTGCGGATGCTGCACTCCTTCCATGCACCAATGGACAAAGAGGACTGCTGCGGAGACAAGCCCATAAGATTAGCCGAAATATACGGGAAAGAAGACTGTGTTCGGTTCCTCCAAAAGTACGAAACGAAGCCCAATTTTCACCTATTTTTGCTTTATTATGAACAACCTTTACAAAAGTTTCTGATTTAATGTGGCAAATCTTTTTCATATGTTGCAGGGCAGAGCTTGAGTACCAAGACTTCCGCGAGAGAATGACTGAAGTAGGCATTTTCAATGACTCAGATGAGGAGTGGTTACAGCAAAGCAAAGAATACGAACGAGACATTGCTTATAGAACCAGGAGGAAAGCCAAGTCTAGACTCAGCTGTCGCTAAAACAACATTTTGGCATGCATGTTGAGTCTTTTGCTCCATTTCTCTGCTAATATATCAACTAAAACCTGAAGAATCCAATGTGACTCTGATCACAGCTGGTACTTGTGTAGGCTGAGTTAACTCATTAAATCCTAAAGGTGCATACAGAATACGTTCATGCAAAGCGTCACACAAAGAGGCTAAAGATAATTAACTATACATTTATTATTTTACTAACAATATTAATAAACAATCACGTTAAAAAGTTACGGAAGTCGAGAGTGGACGTTTTCTCCCAGTGGTTTTCTCGAGATAACCATTTCGGATCCAATCGTCTCTCGATCTCGAGATGATTGGTGTGCGCTGAACCTGATTCCATTCTTCAAATACATGCCACGTGTATTTGCACAATGGCACAAGCAGAGTTTGCTCTATCGAGATTCACTTTTTATCCCGTGAAAACCATCGGGAAATGAACTCGTCTCAAGAAAATCATCAGGAGATTAACTCTGTCTCGAGAAAACCAGTGGGAAAAACATATTGTTATCTCCAGAAAATGGAACATTGACTCAAGAAAACCTTTGGGAAAAAAGGTTTTCTTTTCCCAGAAAAAAAAAACGTGCGCTCTCGGCTTCAGTAAAAAGTGAATGCACACTGTACATTTATTTTCATTGGCACATAAATGTGATACTAGTTTTACGCGTAGATTGAAAATGGTTTCATTTCTTCCAAGTTGACTCGGTCTTAGAGGTGCTTTCACTGACACTAGATGCTGGAGCCTGGAGATCAGAGGGAAAAACAAATGGCAGTAAGACACACAGTATAAGACAAATAGCCCTAGTTTCACGTAATTGTAGTTGCGGTGCACCTACTTTCTTCTTCTTAATGTGTTTCAGCAGCGCCTCACGAGTCTGTAGGAATTATGGTGAGAAAATTATTAAATCGGTTATCTGGCAGAAAAACGTCTATGATTAACTATGACAAAAGATGGCGGCTACCAATACTGGCTTTTAACCATGTACACACCCTTGTTAGAATTACATGTTTTTGAGCAACAACCTTAGTGGGCACACCATTGGAAAATACTGAATTAATTGAAGCAGTTCATGTAAGCAGGTCAGCATCCCATTGCTTGATTGGCCAGGTTCACCCACTTTACCGTGTCAACATCAGATTTTCCTCTTAAGGTGACCTCAAAGATTGAAAGTCAAATTTATTAGCTCTCAAATGTGGCTAGGGACATTCAAACACGTAAAATTTTCTTCTTCTGTTTATTTTGAGACATCCTGACTCACGTAAAGTCCCCCGTCATCTTTTGCTTTCAAGCAGACTTGGGGGTTTGGGTCTAAAGTACTGGTCAGTTTGAGGTCAAAACTGAACTATTGCTAAATCACTGTCTTTGTCAAAACTACCAGTACAGCGAATTAACCAATAACTAGCATGACATACAGTACCACCATGTTTTAGCATGGGTACAGTTCTTGTTTTGCGATGTTTGTGTGTTTCACTTAGACTGGTGGTCAAAAGCTCCACGTTATGGATATTTCAGTCTAGTTTCTGACTTGCATCCAGCATATAGGAAATTGTAGTCAAATGTAGAACTCAACCAGTTTACACCAGAAATGTTTGCAGCTTCTTCTACTGTTAAGGTTTACACATAATACTCTGGGTCTATTGCACTCTCCTCCCACTGATCATTTTGTGAGATCATCGTGTTTTTGTTGACTAAAGGACGCAATCACGCAAAACAGTAAATGCCTTCCGATGACACCTAGACATTGTGTAGATTAATTAATTTCATGGTGTATCCACAAAGGCAATCAAAGAGTCATTTTTCTCAGTTGAATAAACTGCAATATGTGTCGCATTAAATTTAGTTTTTTCCTCTTAAGATCTGAAATTTTAACAGGGCTGTGTACACGGTCATCATATTAGGTCTTTCCATTGCCGTAAACAACAGCTTAGAAACATTGTGATCACACTGTGTAGCATTGTTGAGCTGCGTCATTATCTGACCAGTTTCTCATTCCCTTACCATTCTGTCTCCGAAGCATGTGGTCAGCAAAATGAAGAAGCCCTGGAATTGACAGAGAGTGTACATGTACGGCAAATACTTCAGCTTGTTTATGTGTTGCACTGAATAAAATATTTCTGACTGTACCTGGAATCCATTGAGTATGGTGAAGATGTATTCGAATGCGAATGCTGCAGGTCCACTTGTGAGATCAAACATCAGAATGGCAAATCCAAAGATCCACGTCACACCAAAAATCGGGGTCAGTAGGATGATGGATCTCACGACAGTTTTGGCTGCTGCTTTCTCCTTTTCCGGAGAAATGTCAGTTTTTTGTTGTATTTCTGAGTGGTGGCTTATGAGCTTCATGATGACCACAAGCATTGCGAACACATTAATGAAAACAATTGTTCCAACTGGTATGATGAACGTAAAAAAAGTGCCTTTAAAAACCCCGCCGTAAACCAGCCAGCAGGTCTCCTTCGTGTAATACACCCCCTCAGCTCCACCGTTGCAGGTAAGAAACGTGACAAAGACGATGATAAAGGGGACGGCGTAGCCTACAATCAACGAGAACCTCAGATAGTTTGCCTTGCTAACCTTGTGGAACAAAAACACTGCCTGATGAAGAAGCGTGGTGCTCAAACAAAATGTCCAAAAGAACATAGCCAGGTAGCAGAAATGCTTCAGCACCGCAGAGGTTCGACACCAGAGGTCTGACATATTCTCTGGGTTGGAAGAAGATGCCAAAAAGCAGAGGTTACCGATCAGCAAACACAGACAAATGTTCACATGGGCAGTGTGGCGTAAATATAACGTATTCGTCTTGACTACGTCGCTCCAGACTATCAGTTCTATCACAAGAGTGACGATGAGTGACAACACCGATACTGACAGAGCCGCATAAGTTACATAAGTTATACCAGGGACTTCCAGGGGCTCCTTGGACAGTAGCAAAGCAAACGAGGAAAGATGATCACAGATGCATCGGCCCTCGTTTGAGGGACCCCCCCACTTACATCCCTCTGATGAAAACTCATGTTTGTTAGTGTCCCAAAACACACATTTTAGCTCAACATTACGAGGTCTTTGGTTGAACAAGTCAAAGTCGAGGGTAATGCCACGATGGTTGTCTGCCGTTGTGGAAACAATGATACTGTTGATCTCTGATTTATTGTCAAGATTGGGCAAATATTTATCCAGTTGTCTGAATGCAGCTGTTTTCACATTCACTCCATCCGGAAGAGAAACTGTAACATTGAAAACTTTGATTTTGCATTCGCTGCTGTTGCACACATACACTTGCAGATTTTCCTTCATCGTCGATGTCATATTTGACCTTTTAATTAAACTCTCAACAGAAATCATGAATCTCTCAGCCATTGAGGAGTTTTCAGGGGACTTAGTCCACGAGTCTTCAAGACTTTTATTCAGCAAATGACTGGATGAGAATAGAAAATTCTGAAAAAAAAAAAAAAAAAAAAAAAAGCAGAATCGCAGGTCATTTTCAGGAAGACGGTTGTGACGGGGGACAAGTTTTTTTTGCATTAGGAATTTTACGTTTAGTGAGAAAATCTTTAAGTTAATAAAGATCTATAAATGATCTGCATTGCTACATTGAATAAGACTATTCTCAGGACAAAATTGCTTTGTGACATTTAACTTTTTTGCAAAAAGCTTTGAGTTGGCTGAAAGCTCTTAGTTCGAATCTGCTTTGTTAGACATCATGGTTTCTTTTAACCTTAACACTGTCTTATACATCAGTGAAGTTGTAACAAAATAAACCTTTTAATAATGAAGTCATGAAAGCATAGTGATTATGTCTTAATTCATAAAGATCAAGATGCTTTGATACTCACTTCTATTGCCGACTCATTTGTAATAGAACTTAAATTTTGTAACTTCTCATCCATGGTGCTAAGTACTTCGACCGATGTATTTATGTTGGCATAACCAGGTAATTTTGATGTCTTTGTGACATTTGCAAAGCGCTCAAATACTATTGCAGCATTTGTAGCCAGTATACCAAGTCCAATGTCACTAATCTGCAAGAACAAAAAATATGAAAGTTATTATTGTGTATTCTACAGCAACTTCTTAAGTCAGGAAGCTGAAGTATATTATTCTACCTCAAGTTGTATACGTGTTATAATGACAATTTCTATTTACTGTAATTCCATGGAAATAAAAAAGTTGAAAGACGAATTAAGTGCAACTGTACAACAAAAGGCAGTTTAGTTACTGTACTACTTATTTCTGTGCAATGACATAAAGTGAATGTGAAAGTAAAGTTCACATACTGCAGCATTTTCCAGCACACTAGCGAGATCCCGTTCAACACATTCTGAAACCTCGTCACCCCATATCCCAACCCGGCTTTCTTTCCTGAAAGTACGAAATGAACATTAATGAAACTAATCAGCACAAAAATGAAATGTTCTCGAAATGTTTCATCAGTTAAATAAACCATGAATCATGTTTTTCAAATTTAGAGGACATAAATGTTATCTGATTGCGAAGAGTTCAGATCTCACCTGGGCGAACACTTTCGCTTTCTTGTTCCAGCTTTATCCGCGCATTTTATTTCTGCAGTAAAGCCGGCCTTGGTGTTTCCCCATTCACCTTCTGCTGGACAATATTTGTCTTCAACTGTCGAGTACAAATAAAGAAAAATATTTCAGTACAAAAAGTATACAGAGCAAAACTCCAAGTTTAAAAATGTCATTGTGAGGAAAAACTACCGCGTTAACTTTTAAACAGTTGTCTCTTGAATTATAAGATTGAGGGTGATTTTTAATAAATTCTCTAAGCTGTATTTAGGTTGATTTATTATGGGACTGCAGCTCATCTACACAGCTGCTTCTGGTTGCTGAAGAAGAGTTTGGTCATTTTACTGGCAAGTCCCAAGATGTTAATGGGAACATTGACGTCTGCGTATTTCTGAAGCTTGTGAGCCCTTTAAGAGCAGACAGCAGCACAAGCTGCTGTCTGTCTGCTGTCAAGCTGCTCCTTGCCTGCTAGTGGTGGCCCCCCTGGCCACCACTAGCAGGCAAGGAGGGTAAAGTGCCTTGCCCAAGGACTCATCGACCGAGGCAGCATTAAAACCAGCAACCCCACTGATTGAGAGATGATGAGACCACAGAGGACCAACACCTGCAGATGACACGACACGTCAAGCTAGCTGGATTGTATGGCTCTTCACTCCTCCTCCAAATTCCAAAATCTTGTATTTGAAATGAAATGTAAAATTCACTTTGATTTGAAAGGAGGACTTTGGACCACTGGAAAACACTCCAGTTTATTTCCTGCTTCATCCTCAGGTTCCGCATTTGCTGAAATTATGACATGAGACAGCATTGGATAAGTGCTGTGGCTCTTAAAGCTTCAGCTGCCGTGCATGCTTTAGCGCTCTACCAGAATCTCTTGAAAGGGCTCACAACGTGTAGATATTTATGTGGTCTTTTTTCCCTCCACTTAACTTTAACATAGTGTGTGTGGAGACAACACTCAATGGACAGCTGGCTTCTTTAGCAATGATCTTTTTGGGCTTCGTCTCCTTGTGTGGGGTGTCACTGACTGCTGGACATCTGTCACCCAGGAGTCTTCTTCTTGAATGTCCAGATTGTGATGAGTTCCAAACATTTAATTTATTGAACTTAAATAATGCTGTTATTTCCAGAAGACCAGATTTCTTGAGCTTCATTCTGAGGCGTTTGCTCGAAATATATCGAGCAAATGTTCCAAATTTTTTTTATATTATAGTACAGAAATAACCTACATCTTTGTGATATTTTGATTTACTCTCAAAGTACTTCTCTGTCAGATACATGACTGGTCAGAACTGATTTTATTGAATTGAATGTGCCCAACAGTTCGATTCCCACCGTTTCAGAAGTTCAGTGGCCTGTGCTTGTGTAGCGCTTTATCTAAAGAACCTCAAGGTGCTTCACACTACATTCATTCACCCACTGACATGCTGATGGTGGAAGCATCACCGGCTCCACCGGCCCCCCTGGCCACCACTAGCAGGCAAGGAGGGTAAAGTGCCTTGCCCAAGGACTCATCGACCGAGGCAGCATTGAAACCAGCAACCCCACTGATTGAGAGATGAACTTCTACCTCTGTCTCCACCGAATTCAAACAACGCTTTTTCAGTGCAGTAAAAAACATACAATTCATTGTGTTAAAGAAAAAGAAAAAAAAAACATTGTTATCTTAAACTGATACGTACGATAGATGACTTCGACCCTCATGGATGCAGCTTTGGTTTGGTGGCACTGATTAGTAAATTCACAAAATACGTCAGGAGACGCTGAAGAATCTCCCTGGCCTTTCTTACAGTCAACTAATTTTTGAGCTGAATAAATCTGTTTGTTGTTTTCTGTGAAAATGACACGAACAGGAGAGGTATTACAAGAACAAATTCATTCAGAAGATGGTCCAAAGAGCGAACATGAATGACACTAGTGAAATGTTCCTACCTTCAATCGTGGGTCGACGAATCGCACCTTCTTGCCACGACACATTGTATTTTTCGCTGGTACTCTTTATCTCACATTTCACTATCACAAGAAAAACACTCCCATCTGTCTTACACAAGGGAAATGCCGGATCTGCTGAAATCTCGATCTTCGGTTTGAGGCATACATCCAATGTAGCATTGGCTTTATGGTTTATGGTTATCTGGTTTTCTTTTTCAACAAAAAGACATATGTACTCTCCTGAGGAAGGAACAACATGGACGGTTCAAACAGAGGCAAAAGGTGTAAAATATATTTCAAGGAATTAGACAACCATTATGTGATAAGTACTCAGTCAGCAGACTCATTTTCTTTCCCTAACGAATAACACTGTGGCGGTTCCCGGGGAAGTGGTTGTGCTCTGTACTTCGGAGGAGCTGCAGAAATCCACTGCTCAGATTAGATTTCTGACAGTTCACGCTTCAAATCTGGAGCTTATGAAGGAAAAACTAGAATACTTGGAGAAAACATTTTTCTGACTGCAAATAAATAATTTTAAAATTCCCTCTGGTCAGGAAATAATGGTTTAAAAAAATAAAATAAATCAATTACCCCAGAGTGTGGCATGTGAACAACAGAAATATAAACATAAAAGGTCTGAATGACTCCCAAGTTGGAATGTCCAACAGCAGGTGAATGCAGCCCAGGTAAACAGAGAACGTAACAGCCGTCAGTTTGGAGGCTCTTTTAAGGTTTCGGAAGAAAACGATGCGCTGATCTGATACGATATGTTTAACAAATGTTGAGACGGTTCGGCGAGGACAAAAACAACACGACCTTTAACACGTCAAATTTGATCAACTTAAACAGAAACCATTGCGTTGGTGGAGAATTGAAAGTATTCGCGATGCCCAGGATGCTAAAGACTTTAACAATAAGCCGGTCTTCAGTAAAAGCCATTGGTGAAGCTTTTGACAAAACAAGGCATTGAGAAGGAATGAGAAAGCTATTGGTTATTGGTATTGTTTTTTTTTTTTTTAAGTTATTGCATCTGTATCTGTATTTAGAATGGTGTAGTCAAAGTCCAAAGCTACCCATCCAGTCGGACTAAACTTGAGTTGTTTTGAAAGGATGACTGACCAAAATGACATGACAACATGGGTTGTGAACATTTTGCAAGGTATTGTGGGCCAAATGCTCTGAAACTTACCTTGCCAGAGTTCGTTAACCTTTTGAACCGTGACAGTACTTTCTTTTGGTTTAATTTCTACTGTTGAGATGCTGCCATTAGTTATGAGAAACTCTCCATCTTCTCTTTTCAGAGTCCATTCTGGTTGGGCATTAAGCTTTTTTTCAGTTCTACAAATAACCACAGTGCTGTTGTCATAGAGCACTGATTCCTTTGATATTTCCAAATTGACAATGCCTGTGAATTTAAAAAGTTTACAACTTTAGAAAAATGATACAGGAGTTTACGATCTTAAAAAAATGAGGTTGCGCTACAAATGAAAAACTTCTTTTCCCTCTAAAGCACAACTGAAAAAAAAACACAAAAAACTAGTCTGTTAAATGAAATTCTAAAGATTTTCTTTTAAAGCTGTAATAAGGAGGTAGAATTAGCATCACCCTGTAAAGTGCTTATTAAAACACCTTTGCATTTATTTCAGAATTACTGTCAATATTAGAGAACCTTAATAGCCCTCAAGGTGTAGAGTGTTGAAAAAATAGATGCAATAAAGTAATAAGATTTATTGAGCATAATTAATATTGTATCAAAATTTGAAGAGGTTTCTTCGATGACATTACTATCTTATTTTTCCACCATAGTAAAATTACATTTTAACTTTGGTGTGAAAATCCTAAAAAAAATAAAAAATTCATTGAAGCAACTGAAGAAACAAAACGGGACGTAAAGTTATTGTGAAATGTAACTCTAATATGAATCCAACTGGTGAAATATGAAGTAGTTACCTTTTGTCTCCAAAGTCATACTGCCTATCAGAGTATTTGTCAGGTTTGTAGATTTTTCAAACAGTTTTGTCGAATTAACGTCAGAGACGATCTTCATTGCAAAGTCAACAATAATGCTCCCGACACTATAGCGAAAAACAAAATCAAATAATTATCTTAAACATTTTTTAAATAAATGGATGTGTGCATATTTTTTTTTTATGAATAGAAAAGAAAGTACCTGAATTGCAGTATTGTGAGACTGTCAAATCCTCTTATTTTACTGTATTCGCTTTTCATCTAAAAAGACATTATCTGCATTATTTATGTATTTCTATCAAATAATTATATTTGGTAATTATTTTAATTATGGAAATGATTCTACCTTTTTTAACAGATCTTTATGACATTCCTTATAAGGGTCTGAGGACTTATCTGTCAGACAATTGCTGAAGTTAGTTCCCTCCAGTTTGAATCTCCCTGTGATACCAACTGTTAAGAACAACATGTACACGGTTAATGAGCATCAACCCTTTCTCCAAAGAGCACACGTAGTTTAAAATGTTTGGTTAAACAAACAGTAAAAGTCCACATACCTGTAGTGTTTAAAGTGCACAATGTATTAGAGTCATCCCTGAGGGTACAGCTCTTTTCATTACAATCTACCCCCTGGAGACGAACGTCATCACTCCATTTGTGGCCAGGTTTGCATGTGCATGTTTTATTACCGTTGCCGTTTTGCAGACATTCTTGTTGGGGGTGAACGAAACACACAATCAGGAAACAAACAAACAACAAAAAACTAAAGAAAACGAAGTTTTATCCACTTGGTTTTCTGGCACTGACAAAATCCAAAAGTGCAGTACTTGGAGCATTCCTTTGTTCCTTTCCTACCTGTCGTCATTGTAACCTCCTTGATGTTCACTTTATTGTCGTTCACGGAAAAGTTCAGCATCGAAATGATTCTTTCCACTGCACTTCTGTCTATTGTCAGTTTAGCGTAATACATCTGCGTTGAGTTCTCTGAAACTTTCAGAGAAACGGAAACATTAATTGACGCTTAAAGGCGCAGTATGCAACTTTTACGAACAATATGTTTTTTTTTTTACATATTTGTAAAAACAGTCACTATGTCCTGATAGTATGAGACAGATTATCAGTGAGAAGAACAATGTCCTCCACCTCCTCCATGAGCTACTATTGACCTCTAAAGAAATGCACAGCTCCCGACCAAAAAATCAACCAATCAGAACCAGGAGGAGGGTCTTATGCTGTCACTCAACTTCATGTACCTGCTAATGAAAATATGCGAAAGACTGATAGCTGCAGTTTAGCAGAGAGCAAGAGGGAATAGCAGAGGGATAAGCAGCGCCACACGACATTGTGATTGACAGCACTAAGACCCGCCTCCTGGCTCTGGTTATTTGTTGTTAGCACTGGGAGAAGTCAAAGGAGCTTGATTTTTTTTCACAGATTATCTGCATCATTCTGCCACAACATGGTGACACTTTTACCAAATATGTACAAAATATTTTTTAAACAAGTTTCATATACTGCAGCTTTAAAGCAAAGAGCAGCCACAGTCAGTGAGACAGGAGCTTTAAAGAAACGCTCTTTACCTGTTGCAGAGGCCTGCAAAGGGAAAAAAAACCCATACAATTTTATTAATCTGGTGTTCTCATTTTAAATTTTAGTATCTTTTTGTGGAATATGACAAACCTGGCTGTTTAGACCCAGTATGCAGAGAAATATGAAGACCCACATCTTGATCCTGCAAAAAAACAAAACAAAAAAAAAAAACAACATTACATATTACCCAAGTCCATCCATCTTTGTTCTAACACTCTTGTCCTAAGTGGGGTCGGGAGGTGCTGGTGCCTATCTCCAGCTGACGTTCTGTGCGAGAGGCGGGGTTCACCCTGGACAGGTCGCCAGTCTGTCGCAGGGCAACACAGAACTTACTGGAGGGACTTATGTGAAAGTTCTGACTTAGAAACAACTCAGGTTTCCCCAGGATGCTCTGGGGCAGCGATGTCTGCCTTACACTTGTGTCCCAATTTTATTTGCAATCCTTCCTACTTACACTGATAAATGCCTCATTCCAAAAAAAAAACAAAAAAATAAAACCGAATTAAATATTGCAGAAAGTTGCAAAAGTGACCATAGATACGGCTGAACTGATCTGGATTTAAAATGACTGACCAGTTTTATGCTAATAGGACGACTGGGTGTGACGCACAGGAACACTGCGAGCCATAAATGACGACATATAAAACTAAAGCCTGCTTTTCACATCAAATTTCTGGATTTAAAGAGTTCAACCGATAAAGTTAATAAAATAGTAAATGTTATATTATTTTTGTCCCGTTTTTATTGAAACTGTAAAAACCACAACACTATTGCAAAAATTTTGTATGAAGGATTGTGGTCCTTAAATGTCCCTATTTAGCAAAAACACACAAAACTACAATATTTAACAACTATAATTATTTATTACTGCAAGTGATAGGCTTCTCATAAGCATCCATCCATTTTCTTACTCTCTTGTGGAGGGGTGCTGGAGCCTATCTCCAGCAAGACGTTCCCCGGGCGGGGAATAGAACCCAGGACCTTCTTACTGCAAGGCAACAGTGCTAACAAATGTGCAATGTGTTCTTGTAGACATGTTTTATGAATCTAAATCTGTTTTTTTTTATGGATCATAAGGAGCATTGCTTATTTACAGACAAACACGTGAAACAGGTCACATCAGTTTCGTCAGGACAAAAAGACTGTGATAAAAATCAATGACACTCATCAGACACATACTGTACTTGAATCACTGACCGTGTTGCACAAATTGTGTACTTTTTAAAATTTTGAGTGCACAAATGGAAAAAAACCCAACAGATTCCAACAATGATGACATACTGATGTTTATGAGGCAAGAGGCTTTGTGCCATGATTTTTTTTTTTTTAATTAAAAATATTGCACTGAGTGCATCATCCAAACCACATTAACTTGTGGGTTAATTGCTTTCATCATTAAAAACATGAAAACCTATGACAGTCAATGGCAAAAATAATTGCATTAATATTTATTATGAAAAATAGAAAATGCAAAGATGAGCTCACCTGTGTTTTCTTGATGCACATCAGTGAACCTTCGTAGCAGCAAACTGGCGGGAAAAAAAGCAGCCGTCCGGTGAAAAAGCCAGTTTTTACACCCGGGTTTATTGCAGACATGCAAACAAAACTGGGTCCAGCAATGACACTTTAATTTGACTGTCAAATCAGATTACAGACCGTTCTTTGTTTCACCATGCCATCTCGGTGGATCTTTTGCTGTTATGAAATAAAAGTATTATATGTTTCATGTAATTTCCCTTCTTTGAAAAAAAGAAGAAAAAAAAAAAGACAGAAAGTTGTATGACTGGTTTAAAGAGTAATGCTGATATGTCGCTGGTATAAAATACTCTAAAAAATAAGCAGCTTTGTTTGTATCATAACACATGTAAAATCTGAAATTAAGACTGTTTTGTGTTTCCTACAGCCCTCAATATGTCAAATCTAGACTTTGACTCAAAGCATTTAAATTGTGCTGAGGAAAGGTTGAAAAACCACTTTAATGTAGACCAAACAAATGGGAGTTCATATTCCTTGAGAACATTGAGATAATCATTTAATTTACCTCCAAGTAAGAATCTGAAAGTCAAACTGTCAAACTATATACTTAGTTAGCAAGAGAAATATTTAGTTTACAAACTATCTCGCTCCAAACTAAATAACTAGTTAGCTAGCTAACTATATATGTAGCCTCAAACCAAATATTTAGTTAGCTAAGTGGTAGTTTAATTAACTAGCTTGTTGTCAAACTGTTTTATTGAGGAATCAATCATGAAGCTAAGAACAAACAAGTCCGTCCTCTTTTTGATGTGAGCATAAAACAGAAAGACAATACAAAGTCAAAAGAAAACAAAGGCAACATAAATAAACAAGGACAATATCAAAACCCACCCACCTCCCCAATCCCCAGGACTTTCATCTTATCACACAGAGTCAAATCAAATTCTTTTCAAATAGTTATCAATATATTGTCGAAGGGTTTGCCAAGTTTTATTGAGTTGCTTGAAGTTATTTGTTAATGAAAACCGTCTTCTTTCCAGATGAGAGAGCCTTACCAAAAATCAGCCACAATTTGACAGATTTTTTCCAAAACATCAGCGCTAGCTTTTTTTCCTACGATGAAGGCAGAAGATAAAAGTTGTCGTTGGTATTTATTAAATTGTGAAAGTTGAACAGAAACTTCCGAGTACAATCAGAAGTGGGTCCAGTCTCAACTCTGTGTGAAATATATTTGATAAAGTTTTGAATATGCCAGACCAAAATGGGGTTAACTTAAGTACACCAGGAGTAAGAATGTGGCTTCTTCAATATGGCATTTGTCACACAGTGGAGATGTGGTAGGGAAAATATTTATGTAACTTCACCTTATAGAAATGAAGCCTGTGAATAATTTTAAATTGAATAAGACAGTGTCTAGAGTTGGCAGAGCACTTGTGAATATTCTCTAGCGCAGCCTTCCAGAGTTCGTCGTTCATCTCCGTTCCTAATTCCTGCTCTGAGGTCCTGCATGGACGGTGAGGATCTGGATAATAACATTATAAATCTGGGAGATTAGATGTCCTTCCCCACCACCAAGTTTAAAAAGTTCATCAAATTCACTAGGTTTTATATTCTCTAAAGTGTGCATGTGTGTTTTGGCATATGCCCTGACCTGTGGGTATCTAAAATGATTATGTTTATGGAGACCAAATTTGGCCTGAAGCTGAAAGAGGCTAAGTTACCACCCACCAACAGCTCACCAATAGTTCTGAGGCCTAAATCTTTCCATTGTGTATAACCTGAATCTAAAGTGGAAGGGACAAATGAGGGATTTTATAGATTCAATATCAAACTGGGATTTTATCAGTTTCCCAATGCGTATAGTATAGTGAATGATGCGGTTGTTGTATGCCAAATTATCTATACTTGTTGGTGACAAAATAAGAGCACCAATTTCATGAGGGCTGCAGTCTTCTTTTTCCATTGTGATCCACTCGGATTGTGTAAAATTGTGATCTAGCCAAATTGTGATGATGCGAAGCGTACAAGAGTAATAGCAAAGTGAGAAATTTGAGAAGGCTAGTCCTCCCTCCAGTTTTGCCCTGCAAAGATGATCTTTGCTAATTCGGTGCATTTTATAGTCCCATGGAAATGGGACGAATATGGAATCAAGTTTCTTAAGAAATTTCTTGGGTAGAAATAATGAACTAGCTTGTTAATAAAACAATTAATTTCATTCAATTAACAGCCTCAAAATAAATGTTCACTTAGTAAGCTAACTGTTTGGCTTTGAGCTAACTTTCTAGCTTTCTTGTAAAATGTTTAGTATGAAATTGTGACATTTATAAATGGGCTAGTATGGAGTGAAAACACTTTGGAAAAATTAACCCAATGTTTTCCACTAAAATGGAAACCTGAAATAAATTGAATTACTGCAGGTTTGTTAAGATTGTCGATGCTAACAGCACACAGAAAACGGAAACACTTTTTTTTTTTTTTTGCTCCAGCCTGTATGTGTTGACCATAAAGGCTTAAAAATCAAACAATACCAGAAAAAATTGTACAACTATTAATCTTGAATCGTATTCATTTGGTTCCTGTCGCCTTTTTAAAAAAAAATTCTCATGTGAGAATGTTCCAGCAAAGACTTTGAATACGCAGGCTAATTTGAATTAAAGATGATTTATTTAAACCACACCCATAATAGGGATCAGTGCCAATTTGGAGAGAATCTGAAAGTTGAATTGTAAAAACTTCAAAGAAATCCAAAAATAGCAAACACCCAGTTTCCTATTTATTGCGACTATAACTCATGTACATGTTTTGGATTGCACGGTCTTCTCTTAAACATTTGACAATGTTTAAGTCCCTGTTCTAAACTGAACTCTGCTGTTCTGCTGTAGTTTGTTTCCATAGGCCACATCTGCTGTACTGCAGTCAGGTATCCGGTTATAAGGACACACTTTCCAATGACACCATCAAATATCAGTTACCAGACTCAGATAGGTGGTAAAGATTCACGTCATTCAGATATTTACATTCTAACACTTTAGTGTCAAACATTAACCTCGTAGGTGAAACAGATTACTCAAATTTGCACCGTCAGTGATCTGATCAGGTTTAACCAAATGACTGAGGGATCTTTATATTGGATCCTGTCACTGGATCATTTCCAGTTTGTACAACATCCAACGTTTTTATTTGTCACTGATCAAAGTTGGTCAGTTTATCTATTATCTCACTTTAAAGCGAAAAGAGCAAAAAAAATTTTTTTTCATTAATCAATTTTAGCATGTGTTCTATTTTAATTGAGTTTGTTTTGATTTTAAATAATGATGGCAACGCAGCTTTGCATGACTTTGCAGTAGTACAACAGTCATGGTTTCTTGTCATCTTTATCTGCCTGAATGTATCAGCCTCTCACAGGATTGGTGTTCATTTGCATTTCCAGATAGTCTTTACAAAGCCTTGTGCAAACTGTTGCAGAACAGCAAATACAGTGGTTTTGTATATTAGTCCTGTTCTTTGTACCATCAAAACACAGCAAACGTGTTTGACAAAAACACAGCTCATTTTACACGGAGTAACATTTAGGCTAAATTAATAAATTAACCAGTTAAGTGATGCAAAAAACCTGAATGATAAGTTGAACTATTTCTTCCACTGCTGGTATCTGGAGATTTTAACAAGTCGACTTGACATAATTTTTAATGTCACCTTGAATTAAATTCAGGTCTTAAATAAATATAAATATTGGGGATCCTGCTGGTTCATATAAGCTGACAACAGAAGTGAGCTGATGGCAACTGGTGAGTCATCAGCTGGCCACCAAGCGCCTCGAGTCACAGAATGCGCGCGACTCAAACGTTTGAATGACAAAAAAAGTCTTATGAGAAAAAAACAACATGCATACAAGGCTGAACAGTCCTGCCGCAACAAAGTTCAACACCTTGGTTCCATCTGAACCAAGAAGCAGAAAAACTCGCACACAAAAACAAGCATTTCGACCTTGTTTTTGTGTGCGAGTTTGCCTGCACGTCTCACAGCGTTCGGGGAATTATGGTGAACGGGAGGACGGGGCTGGTGGCCTCCAGGTCCAAGGCAGAGACGAAACAATCGATGGCGTCAGTGGCTTTCCCCTGAGCCTGCAGCACCTCGCCCAGACTCCTCCACATGCCATGAGAAGTGCTGACGAAGCAAGAGGCAAATTATTTTTCACTTAATGGATGTAAATGAGAAAAAAGGGAAATTTGCAGAAGCAAGCAGATTGTAGTTTTCCTAAAATAATGGCCTGGGCCATTTATTTGCCAAAAGATGTTTTAGGGAATCAATCAACCAATAAATAAATAAATACATTTTGGCCAAAAAAAAAAAAACAAAAAAAAAAAAAAAAAAAAAACTTTGGCCATTACTTTAAGAAGGTGGTGATATGAAAATTGTGTATTTAAGAAATATATATATATATATATATATATATTATATATATATATATATATATATATATATATATATATATATATATATATATAAAAGAAATACATTTAAAAGAAAAGATACAAGGAAAAGTACATGTAAAGAGTTGTGATAAAAACATACCTGTCGAGACGCACACCATCTCTTAGGATCTTCTCAGCCAGACTGTAGCTCTCCAGCTGGAGCAGAACGACACCCTGACGAGACCCATAAACATCACCACTTCATCGTTGTTTATAATTACCGATAAAAGTGTTTTGTAGTTTCAGCCATGAAAGCATTTTTACATATAATCAGGGGACACAATGAAAATGTTTACCAGGATCCAAAATCATCTAAATTAAATGTCAAGTGTACAAAACAAAAAACGAAAACATTCTTCCAGCTTCCCTGAGACACAGCAGGGATTTGATTATTAGCAGCTATTCGATTAATTAATTACTTGTCACACATCTATAAATGTAGGAGCTTTCTCTGTTCGCTGCTTTGGAGTGTACCGATGTGTGTGTGTGTGTGTGTGCCAAGGCAATGAAAAGGTGAAATACATGAGCAATAACGTTAAATAAGCAACTGTAGTCATGCTCATGAATCTGGCAATGGCTGTGAAGATATTTCAAAACTACATGGAGTTCATTATTTTACAGCGGAACAAATAAAGTGGAAAATATTGAGGGTATCAAGCTATTGCACCAGCAGAAGTAAATTTAGATTTAGCAGAAGTAAAATACAAAAGCCGTTTCAGACTTTGCATGTCTTATTTAAAATGTTAATTTTTATAACAGCACTCTTAGTAATAGAACGGAAAAAGTAGAAATTATTTTGACAGGATGCCAAGAAAATGCTTTTTTCTCTCGAAAAAAAATATTTCACTAGCATTTTTGTAATGTTGACTTCTGGACTCCAATTGGACAACATAGGTGAGGAATTTGTTGAACTCCTGAGATCAGACTTCATTAATGTAAGGAACCCAGCAAAGACCAGACCATTTTTTATTATGTTGTAATATATAAAGCCTTAAAGCGAAAGAGGTGGGTCACACTATTAACCACAGTGCCGGCCCCACAGTGTTAAAAAAATACCCACACGCATAAAAAAATATATATATATATATATTTTTCTTATCAATTTGAAATTGTACTTTTTACCTGCAGTACTTTTACAACTACATTTATACTTTTGAGTTATGCATGTTAACATAACCAAATTATACTGCATGTATTTTTGAGAAAATGGTTGTAGAGTTTATTCCTGATTCGTGTTCAAAAACATGGTAGTAATTATTTCTCGTCCTCATAGAAAATCCCCCCCCAAACAACAACAAACTTCTCTTGCTAAGCTTTTACTTTTGTTTCTACCTCAAAGAATCACTACCAGTTCAAGGAAATGTTGTAATAAGAAGAATTTTCTACATATCTGAATCATTTAGACACATGTAGAAAGTTTGAGCTGCGAAGAGGCGAGGAACGGGAAGTCTGATCAAGTCGAGGGCCATTTCTCCAGGAATTTGTCCTGTTTAGTTTGGACTTGTTTAGCAATCATGCAAACACAAAACCTCTGTTTTAAACATTTAAGCTGAGCGTTGCATGCATCAAGAAGAAATAAATAGCCACTAATTTATCTAATTTAAGACACTAATTCAGCGCTGATGTAGGCTGATTTGCTCAGGGAGGAAACGGTGCTTCAGGACTTTTGCACAGTGTTGCAGAATCACAGCAGGGGTGTTGATATCTTACCAGTCTCTGCATGGACTTGGCATGAGTGGGGCAGACACACAGAGCTTCTTCATAGCATGTTTTTGCTTCTGCTATGTTCCCCCTCAGCTCGGCGATCTGCCCCCTCATGTAAAAAGTATTGTGGGAGGTGGGGAACAGATGTGCGGCCTCCTGGGTGCACGCCGTGGCTTCCTCGGGTCTCTTCATGCCGATGTAGACCTCAGCTGTGGGAGGAAACAGACACCCAGAGAGGGGACAGGTTGCAGACTGCCCCAGAAACTGAAATAAAGCCATGTCAAACATGGAGTTTCATCGCACAGAAAGAACAACAGAATCTATGGAACTTTGCTCTCAAAGCGACGCAAACAGAGGGGCACGCGATCTGAAGCTTTCATGACTTCGATGATGAAAACTGAGCGATATCGGCAGAGCAGGAGGGAGGAAATGAACAGTGCCTCTATCTGCTCTCTAATTGGCTGATTGCACTAGTTGCGGCGCCAATCAAGCTGGAAATGACAAACGGATAAACCGCCTCTGTCAGTGTGCGTGTTTTGACGGGAGCCGTCTGCTGCTGTTTACAATCTGCTCTGCAAATGTCTGCAGAGAGAAGAATCAGGGCTCTGGCACACAGAGAGAGAGATCTGATATCCAATCACTGCGCTCCACGTCTGCTGGAGTGAGTAGGAAGTAGTAAGCTCAATATGCAGACGAATCGCTGTTCAGCTGCTTGTAACCAGGATGTTAGCATCTAGGTCATGATCTGTGCTTTTAAAAAAAAAAAGTATCTCTATTGATTCCCAAGTAAGCAGAATTTACAAATCATAATGCCAATTGCTTGCTTAAGAAGAAAGGATGAATAAACTTTTTAACTATAAAACAATGTTACAACTCTATTTTCAAAATTAGATAGTAAGAAATACAATTAAAAATACACAAACTGAGAACATAAAATAAAATAACGATAAAGTGCAAATGTTTTAAGAGTGGATAATCAGGGTTGTTTTATCAAGCTCTGTCTTTGAAAACAAAACTGGATCTGAGTTTCAAATTGCTTAACTAATAACTTTGCCATCATAAACTAAAATGTTACATCCATCCAGTCATCTGATATTTATCACTGTCCTGTGATGAATATTAAATATTTGTTTCTTTCGGGAGCTTACTGAGGCATTTTACCATAAAGGAACGTTCCAGGTCCCAATCTGTATTCAATGACAACTACAGCTTGAGAAAACCTTTTCAAGGAAATGTCGCTTCAATAAGAGTTTGCGTAAAATCAGCGTGTGGAAGCAGACCTGCATGAAGCCAGATCTGAGCCAGGGTCAGCCAGGCGTCCAGGGGTCCGTGTTTGGGGACGCCGCTCCCATGGGGAGAGGCTTCCTCCGACAGAGCCTGCTCCAACCGGCTGGCTGCTGTGGTCGTAGAAAGCCGGGTGGAAAATCCATCGCTTTGTTAAAACCCACGAAAAGCTGCCAAAAGCCACTAACTGACAGCTGAGAAGCAGCTAAGCAGAAAATGACTTTTAGTTACCAAGAGCACAAACTACAACACACTGCTGCTTAGCAGCTAAAAACATCCAGGCTCTTTACAATCTACGCTGATGTCTATTTTTTTAATTTTCTGATTTCAGTCAGAACACCCACTCATACGAGTGCTTGTCAGCAGGTGTGTGTGTGTCTGTGCCTACCATCATCAGGGTCACTGACGTCAGCCAGGGTCAGGGTGTTGAACTGTCGTATGGCCTTGTCCAACAGGCTGCTGTGAAGCCCTGAAATACTGTCAACCACAAAACCCATCAGTCGAGACAAGCAGGCATTCGGTTGCTTTAGTAATCATACTTTTGTGGCACCGGTGTGTGTACCGTGGCAGGGTGAGGTTGTAGGTGCTCTTCCAAATCTGCAGCATGCGTTTGCAGGTCAGAATAGCTTCTTCCGGTCCTCTGCACATGGCATCCAGCTTCACCTTCGCATACAGCAGACTACACAGCACAAACACCATCGGCTCAGGGTCTGCCACTCCGTTAGACAGACGGTGAACGCTGTTTGGGAATGTTTCGCTCACTTGAAGTTCTCAGGATGCTCGATCAGGGCCATCTCCAAGGTTTTGAGAGCATTGTCATACTGTTTCATGGAAGAAAGAAGGAGAACCAGCAGGAGGAGGGTGTGGACGTTATCGCCTCCTTCCTGCAGCGACTGTCGAACATACACCAATCCCTCAGGGACCTACACACACACACACACACACACACACACACACACACACACACACACACACACACCACACACACACACACACACACACACACACACACACACACACACACACACACACACACACACACACACACACACTATAAGTCTTCACTGGAGTTAACATAAAACACAACCCTGTGGAACTGAAGGGGAGAGAAATCTTTTTCTTATGTTCTGAATGCTTCAGTTTTTGATTTTTAGTTTGTCGGCGATACCATTCTGGTAAGGGCAAGCTGCAGTGCCATATAAAAAGATATCTGAGGGTCATTGGGATACATGCGCTGAGCTCTGCAGATGAAAAACAACAAAAATTTTGTTCTCAGACATGTTCAATCAAAAATGACATCAGTAACTTCAATATTTCAGAGAGAAATTTGCCTATTTTAATAGAACAAGACAGACTCAATTCTAAAGTATTCAGTGAAAGCATTTTTAAGAAACACATTGAAACCTCTGTAAGGTCAGCATAGCTTTCCTCTGGAACTCCTCCTGTATGTTTTGCGCCAGTGCTGAAAAAGACGCAAACGCACAAAATAAAAGCTTCAGATATGACAACCACAATTACACAAGCATAAGAGAACAACACGTACACCTATACAAACACCTTTTGGGGATTTTTTCTGCCTGACTTATCGATCTGTTACAATCTCTTAAGTGTTCAGACATTAATTTCTGCACAGCTCTCTGAAGATCCCAAAGTCCTTATAACCCCTAACAGATATACAAGTACAAAAACAGTTGCTTCTTAAAGGTCATTGTTTATGTAGAGCGGATCACACCGATGACCATCAACTATTGAAGTCCATTTGATTCCTTCAGTCTTGATTCCTAAAGGGAGCTACATAGGTGTCCTGAGTTTTTTTTTAATTTTTATTTTAAATAGATTTAAGTTTCAGGTTTCATCTTTGTTTAATAAATAACAAGTGGCAAATGTTACCGCTTCATGTCACATTTTTATCTTGCAAGTTTGGCTTTCAAGAGATGTGGCAAAGCAGGAAGTGAAAATTGGAAAATGAGTGAATTTGCGTTAATATTTGCGACTGCAACATCTCGGCTTCCTGAAGGGAATGAATAATGGGAGTGGAATATGTCGCGTGCCGTAAATTAGTAAGCAGACTTGCCATCAGTGGCTTTGAGGCTGTAAACCAGGCCGAGGGCCAAGAAACCTTTGGCTTTGAACTCCCCTTTAATCTTTATCATGTCAGTCACCATCTTTGCATACTCCTCCCCTTCGTCCAACTGAAATATCAGCAAATCAAGATGTAAGAAAAACTTCAGGAGAGAAACACGGTAAAAGTAAAGCTGTACTTTCACTTCTGGAAAGAGGTATGTGCTTCTTACCCAGTGGAGAGGACCGATGCACAGTTTAACGACCAGCAGTGGGATGGTGGGGTCCTCAGGCTTCAGACGGACGCACTGCTTCAGAATCTTGACAGCACGAGCGGATTTGCCGGCAATCATTAGTGACAAGGCGAACTGGTACCACAAATGGAACTCCTCAAAAGCAAACTTCAAGGTTCTCTCCAAGCACTGGGGATGGCAACATTTCTCAGAATTTGTTGGTCTAATTGGAAACAATTTCAGGAGTGTAGGTCAGTGTGGTTGCATGTTTCATTTTACCCTCGACAGCATCTTATACTGCCCCCTCCTGCCCAGCGCTATGGTCAGTAGATCGTACACCCTGGAGGCAGACTCTAGGCTGGTGATCCGATCGTTGTCCTCAGGACTCCTGCTCAGGACAGCGTCCTGGTTGGCCTGACACAAAAACAGACAAAGCTAAGTAAGTAAAATCTGCACAGCATGACAATGTTTTAAAAGTGGGACTCTATGAAGCATCTCACCATAGACTCACTGATCAGCAGCAGCAGCAGAGCTTCCTCTGTGTTATTGTGAGGACAAAACAAACTGAAATGCAGCAAGAGGGAGATGAAGATGGGCGGAGATGAGAAGAACAGAGAGACTGTTTTGAATTCCCTACCAACAAATACTATACAAATGTCATACTTCTCTCCGCAGTACACTCGTGAGGCTCGGCGCGCCCCTCGATGCGTGGGATCATCCACGGGTGAACCTTTCGGAGGATGACCCAGGGTTGACACTTTCGGAGGATCTTCCCGGGGTGACACTTTCGGAGGGTCTTCCAGAGGAGACCAGTAGCTCTGTTCACACATTCCTCGGAGCAGGATCTCTGCGAGCTGTCGGGCTATTGTCTGCACAAACAATGAAATTACAGACTAAGTAGGGCAGCAAAACAGCAGGAGTGCGCTGATTCATGTGACGTTCGACTTAAACGGCAAATAGAATGAATCGGCAAAATCCGGCACGAAAGTTTTAACATGTAGATAATAACCATGTCGCAATAAGCAATTAATGATGATAAATTAAAATGAGCTTTTAAATTTCACTTTCTGAGAGTTGATGTTTGTTTGAAACTGAGGCCATTTTATTTACTGTTGTGTGTGTGTTTTATTTTTCTGTTTAATTCATTCTTTTTGATTGTGATTTATTTTAGCTACTTAAAATGTCTTCCAGTTCAAGTATGGAGTGTTTGAGAACTTGTATTATGCCACTGTCAGTATATTAATCGAAAAAGGTCTCAAACCAACATTACTATTGTTATCGAGAGAGGCCTACATTTAAGTAGTAATTATTCTTCTCAAACTTGAAAGGCAGTCAAACACAAACTCATCCAACTACATGCAAATTATTCAGGACTTTTGGAATTAGCAGGTGAGAAAAATAAAATCTTACAGACAGACAGGCAGACATTCTCCCCAATGAATTCTCACCATGCGAAGGTTCTGGGTGGTTCTGGTTTCAACAGCCCGAAGAATCTCCCGAAATCTGCCCACAACCCGGGGCAGGTCTCTACACACACACGCGCACACGCACACACACACACACACACACACACACACACACACACACACACACACACACACACACACACACACAAAAAGCCACAAAAGAAATTCTGTGACTTTTCCGGCTGCACATGCCTCCATGTTGTAAGCAAGACTTGCAAATTTTAAAAGAAGAAAATATTTACTTTTTACAGCTAAAATCATATTATCAACTGACTTGCGAATTTAATAGTGATCTTTAAGATTCATTTCACTGACTGATGGACAGACAGACCAATATTATAGGGGTGGATTGATAAATAAATGGACAGTTGGACCAAAGGAGATGGAACAAAAACAAACCTATAAATAAAAACCTCATGCCACTCTCTGTTTTCTTTGAGCAGGAAGCTTCACCAGCCATTGACAGACTAAATGTAATCCAACCTTTCTGATCCTAAAACCACATAAGGTATGAGAAAACGTCAAAGCTGTAAAGCCCTATTCACACTCTACTGCATAAATCAACTTGTTAACTTGGTCAGATTACAACTGCAAAAAAAAAAAAAAAAAAAAAAAAAAAAAAACTTGAGTGTGATTTCTGCCAAGTGACTGGTCTTCAACAACAATGTAAAAGCTTTTCTGAATGTCAGCAGCATGTTTTTATTCAATTTTTTTTTTCCAGGACCCAAAGTAAACTTACATTAATATCTATTCTTCCTTTTTCTCCATCCATGTATTTTACCCGTTATTGAAGTAAATGACGTGGGCTCTCTGCAGGCCTGTCTCCAGAAAGTAGTTCAGTTCCAAATCGTGAGTCATTGGTCCTGGCTTTGGGCTGTGGCTGTGAGTACTTCCTGATAATGCCTACAAAAACAGAAACACAACAGAACAGCAAAAGTCAGAAAATATTACTACAAAATTACAGAAAATGATGCTTGATTTTCGTCCAAATTAATAGAAACTAACAGAGAGGACCTTTAAATAGGTTCATATATCTGTTGGTTTCCTACTGTTCAGGCGTTCTGTATATAAAGACGGTTCTGTTTGTCAGCTGGCCATCATGAGCAGAAGCACATTTTTCAAACTTGCTCACTGCCAGTGTAACAATCATCACACTCCCACAAGGATGGCACGACATTTCCTGGCTCTAGAAGTAGCTGGTGAGTGTTCATGTTCTCGTTTCTCCCCCTCAAACACAAACCTTCTCCGCTTCCTGCAGGTACAGCAGAGCAATGTCTCCGGACTTTTCATAGCAGGTGATGATTTCCTGCTCCCGTGCCGCTGGGCTCAGATGGGTCGACGGAGAGCTGGCGTCCAACAAAAAGGGAGGCGGCTCCGGGATCTTCTCCAGACACAAGCCTGGGAGAGATCAGCGAAACGGAAATGGGAACAAAATGCGACAGACGTTTCAGGAAGCTGAACTGCGTCATGTCTCAAAATATAGTTTTAACGTCCTAACATATCAGTTTAATTCAGTTGATTTAGAAAAATATTGTGTTGCCCACTGTGTAGAGATAAAAAGCACTGCTACAGAGATTAGTGGAGATTGGATTTGAGGTGTGGAAGTGGATGTTAAGAAGGTTACGAGGTACAAATGATTCCCGTGTGTGTCTGTGTTTACCTTTGGTGGTGTAGGCCTCTGCTATCATAGACAGTCTGTACACAGGAGCTCCAACCAGCTCCAGCTCGTCCAGGTTCACCCGGTCGTAGTGACCTGGAAAAGCAGAACTTCTCTGTTCAGTTCCTGGACTGTGGTCGTCTATTAGAACAAGAATCAGCTCTTCAAAGAGGCCAAACATCTGTATTAAAGTCTTCTTGTTCAACACACTGGGTTCGTACACAATCTGGAAAAAGGTATTTTAGGTATTTTCAGGTTTGGAGAAGTAGGAGTGAGTGTGAGACTGTAGAATAATATTCATATTTTCTCACTTTATTCCCCATTCTCTTGTCTGAAACTTGTATTTATTTCTCCTTTTGTTTCTCCATTCTTTTTTCAATCCATGTTCTCCTCAGTTTATCCATTCTACACCCTCCGACACTGATCTATTTTTCCATTATCGTCATTTATTTATCCCTCCATTCATCCGCTTTTCTATTATTCATCCACGCATCTTTGTTTCCATCCATAGATCCATCAGTTTTTTCCATTATCCATCATCCCACTAATACTTCAGTACATATATTAATCCAATTATTTTTATATTATCCACTCTTCCACGCTTTCATGTTTCAAGGAAAGTCTGTATTTATCGCAGCGGATGCCATCATTAAAATTCTTAGCAATAATATCTCCACATTCTTTTATACTATCCTGAACTCCAATTACAGATTAAAAACTGCACTTCTACAAAAAAATAAAAATAAATAAATAATAATAATAATGTATCTGGCCTATATTCATAGAGCATTTTGATATAGAACGTGGAAAATGTATAGCATCCCTGAACAGTTTTTCAGCTGCTTTATATTTTAAAAATATGATGAGATGCTAAGAAACAGCATCCAGAAAAGACCTGAAACAGGACCTGACAGATTCACCAGCTAAATCCTTGGAAACAAATTAATCAAGTGACACATTTTTTACTTCAGCAGTACGGAACCCCCTAAGGGACATGTGATTTTTTTTTTTTTTCTTTACTTCGCAAAACTTGCAATAATGTGCTGATCAGTTCATCCGGTATAATTGAATACTGTGAGCCTTTCTTACCGGGGTCATCGTACTCTCTCTTGTTCCATAAGGCTTTCGTGAGGTTTTCCCATGTATGTTAACATCTCGTTGTGAAATAAAAATACATAAAAAATATAAAAATGTTTTATATCTCTTTCTTTATGATAGAGATGCACCACAAACCTATGATATAAACCGAAACTTTCCGTAAGTAGGAAAGAAGAAAAACTACATCCAAAGTACTTGGACTATTTCTGAGTTATTATCGTGGGATGATAAGTCATCTGACAGTTTTGACTGGGTCTCTTTAGTGTTGGTCTGAATGGTTTAAGGGGCCGTTTTCATCTCAATCTCATACAGACAGACATAAACATGCAGTGAACAAATGGATTTTCAAACAGTTTTTTGCTCCAAAGAGTCAAGAATAAACACTGAAAATTGACATTTGTGACTGTATGCAAAATACACCAGCAAATATTGCAGAAAGCACATTGAGCGAGGGAACGCCCAATGTGACATGGAGAAAAAAATGTTCTCCACATCCCCAATATGTCTCTGTATATGTACAAGGAAGAAAGCATCAAACAAAAAAAGACGATGATTACCTAAAGCTTCACTGTGTTCTCCTTCAATATAACAGAGTTTGGCCATCAGCAGGTCGGCTTCCTGGAGGTGATCGGCCTGAAGAAAAGTTAGATGGAAAGAGTTAACTTTGTACAAGAAGTCATCCAGTCAGCGATGCATCAGGTGCTCTTTTCAGAGTTTACCTTGAGGTTTCCTCGGTCCAGAGCAACCGCAAGGTGCTTCCTGACCTCCATCAGTTCTGGCTGGGTGTTTTGGAGACTCGAATCCGGTTTGATGGGCTGGTTTTTCAAGTACAACTGGAGCTTGGATTCTCCCAACAGCAACTCGCCTAAATCATCTACACACAGACAGGCAGAGCACTTTAAGATCGACAGCAGCTAGCAACCAATTTTAAAAAACATGACATGTTTTTACTTCACAGTGGAAAAAACAGGAGTGTAAGCACCAAATACAATACCAGAAAAAAGCATAAATGGGACAACTTTATCCAAAATGATACATTTTTAAATAAATATGTCCTGTCACTGGTCTCCATTTAACAGGATTAAAAATATTCAGAGTTTTAACAAGTAATGCAGAAACGACACAAATACCAGGAAGTATTAGGTACCAATGAAAAGCTGAAGCATTCCCTAATTCAAGTACAGATCCTAGTCACAAACCTTTGCTCAAAGCTCCAGTGGATCAAGTTTATTTCCATAACAGGAGCATTAGTCAAAATAAATAAATCAGCAAGTCTAGTCTCTGCCGTAACACAGACTAGACTTCCGTCAGGAGCTTGGTTTCAGTCTGCAACATAATGGCACATTTTATAGAAGATAAAATATGCCATTATGTGATATGTGTAAATATCCAAAGTAGTACTTTGCAGGTCTTTGTTTTACACACGAGATATCCTGGAACATTATGACTCTATTGGCCTCCGTACTCAAGCAGATCCTGTTTTGATTTGTGGAAGTTCGGGTGCTGAAAAACATAAACTATCTGACAGAGGGATGGAGATGTGGCAGCAAAGACTGACTGACTGACCGACTGGTGTTCTGTTAATGGACTTCTCCTTCATCTCTTTGCCAGCTTATGCTTTTGTTAGAGCAGATTGGAAAAGTTCCCAGCTGTTGCCAAATTTTCCCTCCCCTCCTCATGAGGACGAATGCTCGAAATTCAAATTCAAAATCCAAAATACTGAATTGATCCAAAAGGGGAATGAATGCAGATGGTGATGGCTGAACGCAGGACAGATGTTCTCCTTCCATAAAACAACTGGCAATAATTTTTGAAAAAAAAAAAAAAAACAAGACCTTGATGCACAAATTTGATGCTCGGTACCGGGAGGGGAGCCATTACTTTTAGTGGGATTCGGAGTAACCATGGCGACGTAAAAAGCGCGAAAAAAACGAGCAAGATTTAACTGTCATCAACTGATGGGAAAACAAAATTGTTTTGACCCCCAAAAACAGTTTTGAAATCGCCCCCACGTCCACAAATATCGCCCTATCCGTATCAAACTCGGTCATGACATTGATGCGCACGCCTGGAAAAAAAAAACATCCTGCGTTATGACGTGTTGCTGACAGGAAGTAGGAACGACCCAGGCCCCGGGGGAAGAGAGGCCTGGTGAATAAATGTTACCGTTAAGAGCTTCGTACCGTTCGCCGACAGCCGCCGAACCAACTCCGGCATCTTCTCCCACTCTCCCTCTGAGCGGTAGCGCTCCACCTCCTTCTCCAGCGGCGAGGAGGAGCCATTTGTCGCTATCTTTCGTGACTGAGGGGAAAGAATGGACCCGGTCAGAAACGCCACAACAGGCTCCCTCTCAGAAAATCTGGTCCTGAGTTACCATGACCAAACTGGGAAAAATATTTCAAACACACAGTAAATGCCGACGTTTATAACCTTTTTACTAAACACTGACGTCTGCTAGTTATAACCGTAACAGCAGTTATAAAGGAGATTAAGTTTGTCGCATAAAAATACAAATTTATGAGAAAAAAAAATACTATACCAAACATTAGCCAAATACCGACATATCCATGGTGCCTTTAACAGTGACCAACCAAGCAATTTAAACAACGCAGGTCAAAACCTCGTCCAAATCACACACATAAGTTACACAAAACACTACAAAACTACTCTTAATGTGTTTACAGAACATTTAAAGATGCTGTTTTTGTGGCCTCATAAGAATTTTCTTTTATCCCACCAGCTTCTCTTGAGACATCTCACGAAGGAACACACCAGCGCCCGTCCGTATGACCTCACCAGAGGGGCCGCGTTTCATTGGCTGATGTCAGTGATCAATCAATCACGTTTCATTGGCTGATGCCCATTTTACGTAGTAGCGCGGCTACCACGTGCGTGGCCGTCTCACAAACACAAGCTAATGTGCACGCATTAGAGTTTTTTTTTTATTATAATTATTCAAAACATAAAATATAACAACAGTTTGAATTCCGGAGTTAAACTTTTTTTAATTAATTAATTTTTTTATTACTATCATATACAACAAACCTGAAAATCTGAAGAAGCTGATCCAGGCTGCATCCATGTACACATAGAGGACAAAAGAAACAAAGAAGAAAACACACACACACAAAAAAGCAAACAAACAAAAAAAACCAACAAAACAAAAAAGACAAGCCAGCAGTTTTCCAGCAGTTTCAAATTGTTTATCGTATTATACAGTTCTGCATCTTGTTGTTTGTCCATGAATTTTAGACACAAAAAGAGGTAGCAAAGTTCCTTTTGAAAAGTGGGGAAAGATGGTTTGGCTTTAAGAAAACAACATTTGTGAATGAAAAACTTGGCCCTGATAATTATTACATTTAGTGGCCTTTCAGATTGTTTGTTTTTTTATTTTCTCGAGTCCCAAAAATAATATCTTTCTTAGAAAACTCCCACAAAGCTTCGCAATGCACACATTCATAGAAAAGATGTTCAGTTGACTCAATATCACCGCCTCAAAATAAACAAACATTATTATCAATAGCAAATCAAAGTCTAAGTTCTTGGTTTTATATACAGATGCTGTCATTTTCTCAGTTGTAAACATACAACAAAGAATAACAGACTACAATTCCTCCCAAATAAAGGAAAAGAGCAATTTGTAGCCACCAAAGGTGTCACAAACAGCGATTAGATTACAGAGTTCCTTTGTAGGTTTTTTTTCCCCTTAATTAATGAGATCATCATTTGGAATATTTAAGTGAAACAAAAACAGACTAAATCTTTAAGGATGCACTTTGCCAAGAGTCTTTCTGTTCTGGGATGTAACCTGCCTTGCTGTTTCTGCTCTCCGGGTTCTTGGCGGTGCTGAAAACTCATGAAGTGTTGAGTTTGTTTAGCTGCCAACATGGAGGGTCGACTGCTGGCACCACCTAAAGGTCCTGAGCAGACCTGGGACAGAAATAGAACAGCAAGGAGGTTTACCGCAGAGCACAAATCAAAGTTTAAAAATTTTTTTTTCAAGGGATCCGGATGATATTGAGAACTTTATTATCTCTTCAACAGAAAAAGCTCAGAATGTTAGGGTGAAATTTTGACGTGTGCTGAATTCTGCAGCTAAAGCCTTTCCTAATACATTGTGCAAATTAAGTATAACACTGATGCAAATCAGTCCCACAGCATGACGCCACCAATGTTCCTCAACCCAAGTTATGCTTATTTATTTCATTTACAGCTTAAAATGGACATATCACTTGTTAAGTTAAATAACAGTTTTGAGTTAGTCGAGACACAGCTCAAATAGTCGAGACACAGCTCAAATAATAGGTACCACCCAGTACCACCTGCTGACTGTTCGCTCTGCTTCTCCTTAATGTTTCTACCACATGAGTTAAAGATCTCAGAGGTGCCAACATAAAAAAAACTATATATAGTAAACTTTTTTGATCTCTTTTGATCTATAAAGCAGGCTACAGCCAAGTTGTTATAGAGGTTAAACTGTCAGATATTCGCACTTAATTAGTGAAATAGGAGCAATTTGACTTATTTCATAACTTCATAACAGCAACCTTCTCTCCGCTGGTCTGTTTATTGGCTACAGTCTCAGATCAACTCAGCCCTAAAGGACTGTCAGTGGCAGAAACAGCAACATTATGTCCATCAAGGAAAATACATTTGCTTTGCATTTTTTCCACATGATGGCAATAATACTAGGATCCAATTAAATTCTTGATTCATAAGGGTTGTTGCTATGTTGTGTTACGGTGTTTTAAGAGCTTGTTCAATGTGCCCTTTTTTAACTTTGAGCCCCCGCCCCTCCAAAGGTCTCTGAACGGCCCTGCTTTGAAACATTACTTCATAGCATTTCATTATGTATACTGTATTTGCATTACCGATGTGAGGACACATTGATCCCTTTACAGTGCAGATGTGTAAAAAGGTTCACGCAGCATAAATCAAAATGTTGAAGTCCCTCGTACTGAATGGACGTAAAGACTCTTTACGTCCATTGTGGTTGGTGCTCCAAAGAATGGAGATTGCAAGGAGTATTTTATAAGTTACAAAATACATAACTAAAAAAATGAGACGCTTTTTATTACAAATCTTTAATCTCATATAGAAAAGAGGTTTTACAGTCTTAATTCCAGGACACAGTTTTAGACGTAATTGGGGTGCCAAGTCTCACAGTAGAAAAGATGCAACAAATAATCACCCAAAGACTTGAATCAGCCAGTTTGTCGCGAATCGTCTCTGATCATTCATATCTCCGAAATTAGTTCAACATATCTGGTATATAAACACATCAACTTATTTTGAATTAATAGAAAAATCTGTTGAAGATTAGGCACATATGCAACAATACATCAATGGAGACAATTCATTTTCTGTTCCATTGAAAACTAGCACCTTGATGAAAGAGACTCCAGCACAATTGTTTTTGGCTCTGGTGTTCTAGTCGATTGTAAAGAGAGTAAAAATTGTGATCAGCAGGTCAGCTTTCAAATAAACTTGAAATCCGATCTATGATGTAGTAATATTTCTCAAATATTCAAATACATTTTCTTTTTTAAAAATGGTGAAAAAGGATCAACTTGCTCATCAGCTCCTTAATCTTTGATTTTTTTTTTTTTATCATAGTGCACTTTTACAAGTATAAAGACAATCTATTGAAACATTCAAGCAGCTGACTGAAACGGAAACATACTGTTGCATTCTACAAAAACGTCTCCGCTGCAAATCACTCAATTACACAAAATAAAAAAAATAAATAAAAAAATAAGCTTGAGCTGCTGTTGCGGCTCGTAGTGCAAACCTGATAAAAAAAATCCTTCACCCAATAGGAAAGGCATCACTATGTCAAATGCAAATGCAGAGCTCCGCTCCGAGTGCTTCATGTTTCGAGAGATTTCCGTCTGCGTGCATGGATGACGTTGACGTCACACTGCTGTTTCGTACTCGATGACATGGGAGTCGGCGTCAGCCAGTAAACACTCCGGCTGCTGCGATGGCGTGCGTTGCCCCCGGGCGGCTCCGTTGCTTTCTTTGTCTGAATGTGGCTCTTGTGGGAATGGGTCCTTAGGACAACACGGAAAACATTATATTAATGCTAAGAGAGACACATGGAATTGATTTAGACGTGTTATGTTTCAGAACCATGTGAGAAACTTTATTCAGTCAATAAGGACCTGTGAAATGACCTCAGATAACGTCTGGCTACAAGAGAACGTGGTGCACAGAAGAGTTAACGGTTGAAAAAAAACGGTCTTGTTGGTATGAGGAGTTTCTGCTGCAGCTCGACTGCCAGCTTGTAAGTTCTCTGACGAGCATCGTCATCATGCAGCAAATTAATTTCTGCATCTGACCTTGGATAAAACTTCCATGGATTTCAAACCCCAGAAGACAGGAACCCGTTCGACATGCAGGGCTGGATCTAACGAGAATTATAGTAATCATCTGTTCCATCGATTATTCAGACAATTAATCGATTAACTGGATGAATAAAATTGGCCACATTCGGAAGCCTTTTCATACAATATTCGAAATACATTAAAGGATGCAAATAAACAGCTAATTCAAAAAAAAAATAAATAAATTACACACACACACACACACACACATATATATATATATATATATATATATATATATATATATATATAATATATATATATATATATATATATATATATATATATATATATATATATATATATATATATATAATTCCCTTCTGACCCACCGCGGGTGGTTCTTATCCTCTGAGCTCGGGTCCTCTACCAGAGGCCTGGGAGCTTGAGGGTTCTGCGTAGTATCTTGGCTGTGCCAAGGACTGCACATTTCTGGACTGAGATGTCTGATGTTGTTCCTGGGATCTGTTGTAGCCATTGCTCCAGTTTGGGGGTTACTGCCCCGAGGGCCCCGATGACCACAGGCACCACTGTGGTCTTCACCTTCCAGGCCCTCTCCAGTTCTTCCCTGAGGCCCTGGTATCTCTCCAGTTTCTCGTGCTCCTTTTTCCTGATGTTGCAATCACTTGGTATTGCTACATCTACCACAACGGCTTTCCTCTGTTGTTTATCCACTACGACAATGTCTGGTTGGTTCGCCATTACCATTTTGTCTGTCTGGATCTGGAAGTCCCACAGGATCTTAGCTCTGGCGTTCTCCACCACTTTTGGGGGTGTTTCCCACTTTGATCTCGGGTTTCCAGTCCATATTCTGCACAGATGTTTCTGTACACTATGCCTGCCACTTGGTTATGTCGCTCCATGTACGCTTTCCCTGCCAGTATCTTGCACCCTGCTGTGATGTGCTGGACTGTCTCAGGGGCCTCCTTGCACAAACCTACACCTTGGGTCTTGTCTGGTGTGGTAGATCTGGGCCTCTATTGCTCTGGTGTTTAGGGCCTGTTCCTGGGCGGCCAGGATGAGGGCCTCTGTGCTGTCCTTGAGTCCAGCTTTTTTCAGCCATTGGTAGGATTTACTGATATCAGCCACTTGGGTTATTTGCTGGTGGTACATCCCATGTAGGGGCTTGTCCTCCCATGATGGTATCTCTGGCACCTCAACCTCCGTTCCCTGTTGTCTGAGACATTCACTGAGCACATTGTCTGTTGAGGCTTTGTCCCTGATGTATTTATGGATCTTAGTTGTTTCGTCCTGGACAGTGGTTCTCACACTCACTAGTCCTCTGCCTCCTTCCTTGCGGCTCGTGTACAGTCTCAGGGTGCTGGATTTGGGATGGAACCCTCCATGCATGGTTAGTAGCTTTCTAGTCTTAATATCTGTGGCTTTTATCTCCTCTTTTGGCCAGCTGATTATTCCAGCAGGGTATCTGATTACTGGCAGGGCATAGCTGTTTATCGCACAGATTTTGTTCTTGCCATTGAGCTGGCTTCTCAGGACTTGCCTTATTCGTTGGAGGTATTTAGCCGTGGCTCCTTTCCTTGTGGCCTCATCGAGGTTGCCATTTGCTTGTGGTATACCTAGGTACTTGTAGCTGTCCTCTATGTCTGCTGTTGTTCCTTGTGGGAGTGAGACTCATTCTGTGCGGATCACCTTCCCCCTCTTTGTGATCAGCCCGACCACACTTCTCTAGTCCGAATCACATCCCAATGTCAGTGCTGTAGATCCTGGTGGTGTGGATCAGTGAGTCGATGTCTCGCTCACTCTTGGCATACAGCTTGATGTCATCCATGTAGAGGAGGTGACTGATGTTGGCCCCATTTTTGAGTCGGTATCCGTTGCCAGTCTTGTTGATAATTTGGCTGAGGGGGTTCAGGCCTATGCAGAACAGTAGCGGGGACAGAGCATCTCCTTGGTATATGCCACATTTGATGGACACTTGTGCAAGTGGTTTGCAGTTGGCTTCAAGGGTGGTTTTCCACAGCCTCATTGAGTTTGCAATGAAGGCTCTCAGAATCCTGTTGATGTTATACATCTCTAGGCATTCAATGATCCAAGTATGCGGCATTGAGTCATAGGCTTTCATGTAATCGATCCAAGCCATGCACAGGGTTGTGTCGGGTTTTGCAGTCTCGGGCAACTGTGCGGTCTACGAGGAGTTGGTGTTTGGCTCCTCTGGTATTTACACCGATACCCTTCTGTGCCGTGCTCATGTGTTTATCCATGTGTTTGCTTATCTTGGCCGCTATGATGCCTGACATGAGCTTCCAGGTTGTGGAGAGGCAGGTTATTGGTCGGTAGTTGGGTGGGACTGGACCCTTTGATGGATCCTTCTGGATTAGGATTGTCCGCCCTTCAGTTAACCATTCAGGGTGAGTCCCACTTTGTAGCAGCTGGTTCATTTGGGCTGCCAGTCGCTCATGGAGAGCAGTGAGTTTCTTTAGCCAGTAGGCATGGATCATGTCAGGCCCTGGTGCTGTCCAATTTTTCATGCCTGAGACTCTTTCTTGAACATCTGTCACAGTGATGGTTACCGGGGCTTGCTCAGGGAGGTTGCTGTGGTCCTCTCGTAGAGAGATCAGCCACTGTGCATTGCTGTTGTGGGACGCCTCCCTTTCCCATATGCCTTTCCAGTATTGTTCAGTCTCCAGCCTTGGTGGGTCTGCTCTGTTATTATTACCCTGCCATTGAGAGTACACCTTAGCTGGTTGAGTGGAGAAGAGCCGGTTAATCCTTCTGGATTCATTCTCCCTTGTGTATCTCTTTAGGCGGCTGGCCAAGGCTTGGAGCCTCTGTTTGGCAGTTTCAAGTGCTTCAGGTATGGGCACTTCTGGGTACTGGTCTTTTCATTGTACCCTTGTGGAGCTCTGACAGTTGGCTCACTTCCCTCCTTGTTACCTTGATTTTAGCCTCTAACCGTCTTTTCCATGGTGGGTATTGGGTCTCATGGTTGCTCTTATAGCCAAGTATCTCAAGGATCACTGATGCTGAGTTGTAGATCAGCTCATTGGTTTCTGTTATGGTGTTGGTAGGGATCGTTCTCAATGCTGCATTCACATTCTCAATGAGACTTTCTGATGGTACTTCACTCAGCCGTTGTAATTGGCGTCGAGGAGGCCTGGTTGTCATTCGGGTCATGATTCTCTCTCTCAGGTCAGCAGCTGTCTCGTTCAGCTCTGTTTCGCTCATTGGGGCCGTGTATCCCCTCACTGGGTGGGACTTGTAGTTAAGTCCCCACAGTCCTGACATCCGGGTTCCTCCCTTTTGCCGTAGCATTTGTGTTGTATCTCGTCAATCTCAAGTTGTGATAGCCGTTGCCGTTTGCGGATGTTGGAACACTGAGCTACTAGTTGTTTAGCGCTTAGTGTTGACTGGGGATGTCGAAGTAACCATTCCTTCCCCAGTCTTTGCATGTAACCTCTCTCACTAGGGTTACTTGAGTAGTAGCATTCCAACAGATCCACATTTTCATCTCTCGCCCATTTCCGTCTTGTTCCAGTAGCCCATTTGTCATCAAGGTGCTCTGGTTCCCCAACACCTGACGCAGACCTTGTTTGGCCGGGCGACGTCTGAGCCGGCATGTTACGCAACTTAGTATCTCTCATGGTATGAGGTAGGCAGTAGCTTGAAGGGTCTTGCCTAAGGACCCAGACTGGATTCGAACCCCGCCCACATATATATATATATATATATATATATATATATATATATATATATATATATATATATATATATATATATATATATATATATATTCCCTAGATGAAATAAGATAGTATTCCTTTACGATTGATCATTTATTGCCCTTTCTGCTTGCCTTCTTGACTTAATATCAGTATAGCATAGATGCGATCTGATTAATTTATGGATAAATCAATTAATAAATGGATAAGCAAAGGTGACAATAGGAGACATTTTTAACAGAATTTGAACAGAATGAAGCTAAAACTATGACACTTGACTTCTGGGTAGAGCATATTTATAGACAAAGAACATTTTCATACATTTTTCTGAACAGTTTTATCTCATTTAAAATCTGAGGGTGTCCTTTAAACAAATTAAAGTAACGATTAATGAATTAAATTAGTTGAGGATTATTTTAATTAATCACAATTAATAAATAATTTCAGCCCTATTTACATATTTTCCCTCTATGAAATGACAACTTGTAATTGTTTTTTTAATTTTCCTGCAATCTTTATCCAGGTTGATGGAAGGCATCAGTTGCTCTAGTCATTGCTGATCTCTTTCCATCTTGATGTTTTCGCACAAAGGGTCACACTGATTGACAAAGGTCAAATAATCAATTGTATTTTGTTAAAAGCAGCAACTGGTTGCTACCTGACTTCTTAAATCCAAGAAAAGTGCCAAGGGTGTGCTTACTTTCCATCATTAATAGCGGTTGATAGGTTTTTGCCTGACTTGGCGTTTGTTTTTGGCTGAAACTTTAACCTTTACTTACAGCCGGTCTCAGAGGAGTCACGCAGCAGACCTTCTTCTTTATGTGTTCGGGCAGAAAAAAAAGCAGTTTTCCTAATAAGGGATAGACTGTTCCAGGTGTCGCTTCTCCTTCTTTCATTGGGCCTTGGCAAAAGCACAAATGTTTCAAAGTTTAACGTGAAGAAACGGTTTACACTGAAGTGATGCGGCACGAGTGAATGTCACGGTTTTGCGTACCTGTTAGAAAGCTGACGGTCAGCCCTACGAGGATGACTATTAGGCAGCTGAAGCCGGCGTACCACATGTAGGACAGAGAATAAAACCTGTGCAGCCCCGTGGGCCAGCTGAAGGACAAAGAGTTCATTTAGTCGCGAGATAAAAAACGTCGCCGGTGACATTCGCCGTTAATGGCAGCGGCCCGACCTCGTTGCGTTGCTGATCGCCGTCTGAAAGGCGGTGGTTGTGTTGACGTGGCAGCTGGGTGGCAGCCGCTTAGCGCCAGAGCTGCGGGTGATGATGCTGCCGATGCCGACCCAGAAAGCCCCGACCAGACCTGCACCCAGACCGGCCAGCGCACCCTGGAATCAAAGGACAGAAACTATTCAGTTGTGGACAACTGAATAAAGTTCTTCTATTTGTGTTTGCCTGGAATAATTGCTGACATGAATAAAGTCATTTAATAAATTAAATATCATTTCACATTCATGCGCCACCATTCAAATAAAAACTGAATTGTTTTGACTTTCAGGATAAGATTTAAGCAAACAACTGTCATCCTAAAGTTGTGCTTATGTGGCCACATAAAGAGCATCGCCAGGCCGAATTTGGCCCGCGGGCCTCAAGTTTGACACATGTAGTATAGGAGGACATGAGAAACAAGAAGAAAAAGGTCACCTTAAAAACATCATCCACAGTACAATGATGTGGTGCTGCTAAATGATTGAATAAATACACATAAAAGCTCAAAAACAAAGATATTTATTGTTTTTGAACTTGTTATTCTGGCTATTCAACCATAAGGCAGGTGCAAAGAGCTATTATAAAATATTGTTTTTATTTCCTTCTGCACGATAACAATGAAGGTATTCTGATTCCGATATCCATTCGGCCTCTAAGTGTTTCAGGAACATCTGATCATTCATGGAACTTGTCAGAGAAAAATGTGGACACCAACTTTCGTGCTGACATACTCGTATTCATATCGTTTAGAAGCTCACGACTAAACATGCAAAACCAGGTCAAATGAACGTCGGCTTACGGTGGAGTTGGCCCACGGGAAGAACATTCCGAGGCAAAACAGGCCAAGAATGGGTCCGCCAACCATCCCGAAGATTTTTAAAGCTACCTGCAACAAAAAAAAAAAACACGAGTGCTAATCTACGCAAAGTTACTGAGAAATTGTCCGATCAAACGCTGAGCTCACCAGTAGGATCGAGTCGCCCAGGAGGTGAGTCAGGTAGGCCATGGCCAAGCAGAGCAGCCCATAGGACATTGCTGAAGGCAGAGCCACATCATGAACCGTTAGAAAGAGAAACTAAAACTTCACCTTAGCGAAGTTTATAGCCGAAAGCGGCTCACCTAAAGCTTTGGACAGCAGCGTCGCTCTCTCCTCCGACATGGAAGGGAAATGCGGCTTGATGAGATCTTCCATCGTCACGGTGGCCAGAGAGTTGAAGGCAGACGAGATGGTACTGAATGGTGAAAGCAAAACATAAACCCACCCCTGTGTTTTCTCTTATTTACGATGTTAAAAGTTGTGCAAATCCACAACAGCTGAACAGGTTTTCAGGTTTTATTTTGTGTGTGTGTGTGTGTGTGTGTGTGTGTGTGTGTGTGTGTGTGTGTGTGTGTGTGTGTGTGTGTGTGTGTGTGTGTGTGTGTGTGTGTGTGTGAAGCAACGTGATCACCTGACATGGTTTTCACTATGAAGAGCACATCAACCATTTTAAGTTACCGCTAAACGCTTTCCACTCTGGCACAACACATACTTCCTCTGTTAACATGAGGAATACAGGAAAAAACCGCCGTCTGTTTCGTCTCGTATGTTTCGGTTTCTAACAAAAAAGTTTGTAATAAAGGAGGTCATTAACAAACCCATTCATGTAAATTTCTTGTAAATCAATGGGAAATGAAACTTTTACTTCAGCATGTGAATGCCACGCAATTTTGCCTTCACACACAAACATGAAGCCCCATTTTCTTTCCTCATCCTTGGTGATGGTGCCCGAGGTTGTTCAGTTTTAGTTTTAGGACTTCATGACTATTAAATAAATTTTTTTTGTATATAAAGCCACATTTCAGATTGAAGAAAAACTCTTTTTGAACTTCTTTGTTAAAAATGAATGATCTGGTCCCTTATGTGATAAAAGTAATTTTAAAACCTGACATGCAGTAAGGTGGTGGCTGTCAGTCCACTCAGATGAATGTCTTCTCAAAGGTGCAGTACATAACTTTTAGTTTTTTAAAAATGTCTTTTTTACATATTTGTTGAAAATATTACTATCTCTTGACAAGATTTTATGACACAGATAATCTGTAGGAAAAAAAAAAATCAAGCTCCTCTGCCTTTTCCTAGTGTAAACTGGAAACAACCAATCAGAGCCAAGAGGAGGGTTTTAGCGCTGTCAATCACCCTCCATGTGGTGCTACTCATCCTCCTCCCCTTCAATCGTGATTAAAGTCAGAATTCATTTATTTTTCCTCTTCCCTAATATATTTTTTTTATTTATTTTTGCACCACCACCCATACAAATTGCTGTAGGTCTAAATGTTTTCTATTAATTTGAACAATAAAATCTTATTTTTTTATCTTTGTCTGGCGTGCCTGATCAAATTACCAGTGACAAACATAAAAGAAAGTCTAACAGTATGCTATCTGTCTGTTCTAGAAAACGCCTCCTCCTCAACTGGATAACTGAACACATTTCCTCTGGGAATTTTTGTACTATAGTACTTTACATATTGATTATATCACTTCGCCTTGTACAGATAATCCACAATCTAAGTGTTGTCTCCTTTTGATGTACAGTAGTTCTTTTTACATGCAACTAACTGTGACTGTTGCTAAATTAAATCACAGTTCCTTTGTTTTACAAAGGAACAATTTCACATTATTTTCTTACGTGCTTTAGAAATAAAATAGGATTTATAGTTAGTAAAGGTAAAGTAGCCTTTGCAGCTCTAAACAAATTTGTCTCAACTGTGGGTTGTGTTAGATCTTCTTCTTTTTTTTAACCACAGTGTTTTGCATTTTGGTCTCACAAAAGTTACCATGTGCCTCAAGGCTGCTCCTCTGAGTAACACTCTCAGTCAAATTATGTTGGTTTCAAATTTTAATTAATTCACCTCTGCTGTTAAAGTTAATAAAAGAGGGCAAAAACGTTCAACTCTATGTGAAAATACTAATATTATTTGTGTGTGTGTGTGTGTTTTCAAAACACTGAAAAAATGCAAATAAATTAAAATAAAATAAATAATTCTTTTTTTTTTACTTTTCAAAAACATGCAAAAAAAACAAACAAACAAACAAATAAAAAACTCGACATTTGCAAAAGTAAACACACAGCTGCCGATAAGGAGGCCTGATAAGAGAACTCTGCTGATCCAGCGTAAAGTCCCGTACCTGAGCGCCGCGCTAAAAAGACAAGCGACAAAAAGTCCAGGCAGTCCAGGCAGGCCTTGCAGCATGTCCATCACGAAGTATATCACCATCTGTTTGTGGCAGAACTGACGTCAATGCTTCCTGGAAGCTTCTGGTTTTTGCATATATTCATTTAGTCAACAAAAACCACAAAAGTCACATGAGAAATGCAATGTGAACGTTACTGTTACACATGCAAATACACAGGCTGCAGTATTTGAATTTTACTTGGAGTTTACCGTCAGGTCACATTTTTTACAATTTTAGCTAGAAGTCGGGTTCCTTCTGTACTACATTTATGTATTCTAAAGAAAATAAATAAATAAATAAAATGTCGTGAGGGCATTTGAGGGAAAGAGGGGGACTCACCGCATCTGTGGAAGAGCTGCCCAGCTTCTCGGAAAAGTCCTCTCCACAGTAACGTGCGAACATGACGAGGCCCATGATGCAGCTGAGACCCAGAGCCAGCTGAAGGGAAGGAAACACCATGTAGCACGACCTGCTCACACACACATGAAGCAAAGGTGGAAAATGAGAAACATTTTCACTCAAAGATCCCCCTATTAAAGTTGGCTAAAACACTTTGATTCCATCTAGGATTGATGCAAAAGGCTTCCATTTCAAAGTTTTGCTGCATCTGATGACAGTGAAAGAGGAAGAGTTAAAATGTTGTTCTTTTTTTTTTTAAAGAAGAAAAAGAAAAGGAAAATAAAGGAGAAAAGAATAAAAAGAAAGGAGCCATTTTTATTTGGCAATCTGATGAGAGATCATGGATGAGAACTTAAGTGTTTTAACTGAATAAATCTGCTAAAAGCAAACCAGTGTTTGGTCCTGAGCACGTGTTGGGTAATCAGAAACTGGAACCGTAAAATTTATTCAGAAAAACTCTGATTACAGCCTAATCTACCCATCTACTCAGGAGGTTATCTGTGTGATAAGTCCATCAGCGCCCCCTGGTGTACAAACTATTAAACCCTTAAAGTAGGGGTGTCAAACTCCAGTCTTCAGGGGCCGGTGTCCTGCAACTTTTAGACGTGCCTCTGCTGCACCACACCTAGCATAATTAGATTATTAGCAAGGCTCTGGAGAACTGATCCACACAAGGAAGAGGTAATTAAGTCATTTCATTCCAGTGTTTTGTACCTGTGGCACATCTAAAACCTGCAGGACAACGGCCCTCGAGGACTGGAGTCTGACACCTGTGCAATGCTTCTCGCCTCACGCACTTTCTGGGAAAATCTACAGTGCAAAATGTTCTAGAACATGAACATTTCTTAATTTTCTTCTAAAAAAACTTCTGGGATTGATCAAAATTTTTAACTTTGTAAAATCTGAGATTTTCACAGTTTTTTCCATTATATTTCCAAGATAGATTTAAACATTTCTAAGTTCCTTTCTCGCCCATTTTTGCTTTTCGGAGCTCAGAAATGTCCTTGTTTTTTTATAGAAAATTTCTGAAATTATTCTAAAAAAAAACAAAAAAACTTTTTTTTGGTGGAAATTTTGCTCCTTTTTTTTTCAACTACTCACAACGGGCCTAATAACACCATTGCATAAACCCGACAGATGCTTCCACATTTAGTCTCATAAGCATTATTTTTTGCCAGTTAGGTGATTTCTGAAAGCAATTTTAAATGTAAAGAATTTTGAAAAACAATGTTTCTATTGATTCACAATCATGCACTCCTTTGTATTTCATGTAAGAGCATTCTGATAAAATGCTTTCAGGTTTGAGGTTATAATGTGCCAACATGTGAAAAACCTCTGCAGGAAACTGGAAATTGATGTAAAGCACTTTAGTCTGAGACCAGGGAAAACTTCAGATTCATTTGTACACAAATAACTCATAATAATAATAATAATAATAATAATAATAACAGCAACAAAAACAAAATACCTCACAGCTTCTTTTTCTGTCCGCGCGCTGAGATATCTTTGGACCTGAGCCTGGTTGACGCCATACAGGGACAACATGAGGAAAACCCCGCCGACCCCCAGGGTCCAGAAGGTGTGTCTTTCTGTGGGATCCGGGTTCAAGCTGAAACACAGAAAACCGTATTAAAATTAGGATTTTGTTTAGGCCTGCAACTATCAACTATTTTAGTTCATCTGACAATTAATCCAATTTTAAAGTTGTTTTTTTGGCACATTCTGCAGATTTTTCGTTGAAAAATCGTGTTTTACACAGTTGGGTATATTTTAAAATATACACAACAATTTACTTTGCTCATAAATACTTCTAACATCAACATGTGAAAAGTTCGGCCCTTTCTGCTCGACTTATAATCAATGCAGCAGCACAGGGCTGATCTGTTGATTAATTTGGTAACCCAATTATTGACTGCAAAAAAAAAAAAAGATGCTTATTGGGTGATTTTTTTTATTTGAACCAGGTGAAGCTAAAGACTATGCCACATAAGGAGTCTGGATAGAAATAATTTACAGACAAAAGTTTTTTTTTTGCCTTAAATGTACAATCTGTGTATTTCTCGTATGGTTTCGTCTTAATTACCGCCGTGTGTCGTTCAGCAAACGGCCTCTTTTTTAGTCTGTATGCGCATGTTAACAATGAATCAATTACTAAATTAGTTGACGTTTATTTTAATAATGCTCAGGGCCTTAGCATTCACTGAACTCACTCTAGTCCAGAGAGGCGGTTTCCCTCCGTCACTTTCCTCCAGACCTCCGACATTCCTCCGGTCTGGTCCACTCCCACAATGATGACGGCGATCTGGCCCGCGAACATCACCAGCGTCTGGAAGACGTCCGTCCAGATCACAGCCTTCAAGCCACCCTGCGAGGAGCCGAGTGGAAACATCCAGTCACACCACACAGCCAGATCTAAATGGCAACGCAACAGTCTCAAGAAATGAGACTGGAAAACTTGGAACAGTATTCAAACCGCTTCCAGGATTTTTCCGCAAAAGCCTGGTGCAATAAGCAATTAATCGCACGATTAAAATGAGCTTAAAATTTCCATTCTCAAGATTAATATTTCAAGGGCAATTTTGTTTACAGTGTTCATAATACATTTTATTTATGGTTTCTGTTGAGTATGTGTGTGCGTTTTCCCCCCCATTTTGTTTATTGTTTCTGGTATTCATTTTGAATATTTTAAATATCTGCCAGGTCCGGTGTTCTGCCCAAAATTAAACCGTGTGGGAGTTACGGTTACTCCTTCGCTACTTCTCTTTCAACCCTGCAATGAAATGGTTTTCAGATGTTTTCAAATATTTGAAACCTCAAACAAGAGTAATTTGGTACTATTCTGTAATCATGGCCACATAAAGTCTTCCAAGAGTCAATGGTGATTTTTACGGACACGGTCACGGCATAAAATCTCAAAAACAGACACATTTCAGCTGTTTTATAAACGCAGGAAATGTTTTTTGCATAAATTGGCTAATTAACTGAAAGGAATGACTACTCAACATGCTAACATCATTGCTCCAGACAGAGAGTGCTCATCGGTCAGTCCTCTCGACGTTCAAGTCAACTCACCAGTGTCGTGTATAAAGTGCACACTAGTCCGGTTACCAGCACTGTTCCCCAAAGCTGAAGTCCGGTAGCTGAAAGTAAAACACAGCAACATCCTGGAATTTGTTTCAAACTCTGTCTTAATGAATCAAATTAAAACATCAAACTTTTCATACCTGCATTTAGAGCGAAAGCAGGCGTGTACACACAAACACCCATATAGATAACCTTAAATCAAGTTAAGAGACAAATCAGAAACTGGAGTGTTTTAAAGAGAGAAAAAAAACAGTAAAATACACAAAACACCCTTTATCATTTTTACCCTGGACTGATTGGGCAGATTTTACCTAGAGATCCAGTAAAAACCGCTTCAGCTTCTTTGCAAATAAAAATTGACTAAGAAATAGAACATTTTGACTGTGATGCCTGTAAAGACAGTTTATTATCTCAGTGGGAGGGAATAAAAATGCATGCCACATTTTTCAGATTTTTTTGAGGGGAGTGGGAGTGTGTTGGAGAGGATGGTTGCCAGTCTATCAGTGGGCATCACATGACAGCACATCCTGAGCTAAATACTTACACCTCAGAGTCACTTAGAGTGGCCATATTGACTCTAAGAAGGGTTAAAAACCTGACCCTTAATGTTCTTAAAGTTTGAAGGATGGTTCCTGCATTTTGCATAATCACAAAAGAGTTTCCGTGCAACTTCACTACATCACTGCTGGTTTTCCATTTTGGCACATACAAGTCTCGGGTGATGTTATACAAGTTATTTTACCAAGAAAACTTTACAGGATGGCTGACTGGTATCTGAATGCACCCACCATTTGAAAGATAAACGTTAACGTTCCACATATCCGCACTACTTTGCTGAACCGTAGCTCCAGATACTGCAAAACAAGAACAACAATGCTGACTCGCTGCGCACGGACGGACGAGATTTTTTTGTTGTTGTATTTTTACATACCTGGTAAGCGCTGGAGAGCCTCAGCCTGTATAACAATGGAATGAAAACGTGAGCAGGAATTAAAAGCCCCAGAATGTAAGCGCAGCCAATGAACCAGTACTGGGTGCCGTGAGTGTAGATCTCGGCCGGGACGCCGATGATGGCCACGGCTGATTGGAAGGAGGCGATGAGCGACAGCGAAACGGGGAGACACCGCATGCTCCTGTCTGCCATCAAGAACTCCTGCGTGGTGCGTTGGCGGCCCCCGGACAGGGCGTAGAACAGCCCGATGGCCACAGAGGCGGCCAGTAGAAGGGCAAACACGACGTAGTCGACGGCTGAAAAGTGCTTTTGATCGGACGGATCCATCTTGGTTTGCTTCCTGGGCCGGAGAATTCAAGTGGCTCTTTGTGTTGCGCCTTCATGCAAATCGGAAGCGCTTTTCTTCGCACCCATCAGTCACAACGATCCAGAAAGCCTACAAAAAAACAAAAAAAAAAATCATGAAATACGATAATTAAAAGTGTAATAATGCCAAACAAAAAGGGCACAATAAGAAAATGGTAAAGGGAGGAACCAACATGGATATAATATGATGTCAATGCAATGGATCTACTGATTTTATACCTCAGATATTCCTCAGAAAAATGTAAACAATATCTGAAAAAATAGAAACATTTCCTTTGTAATTAACCACCCTACATCAGCGTTGAACTCTACACATAATATTCATAATTTTGAACTAAACCCCATACAAAATGTTGTTTATTATTATTTTTCCTCCTCTTTTCTGGTGTTTATTTCAATTAGTTTGTTTGTGTCGATCCAAAAATCTCCAGGAAAAAAACCCCAAAACCTACATAACTTAAAATTTTTCTTCAAATGTTGTATAACAAAATGGATTTTGTTGTGATTTAGCTAGCTTATCTACACTATATGAACATTGCAGTCTGTTATAGACGAGGTTGCAGCAGCTCCTTGAGACTGTTATCCGAGAAAGCTGGAAGCTTTCATTTTGTTTAGTTCTAAATTAACTTGGAGGGTCAAAAGCAACTTTATGTTTTCAAACTATCTAATATAAATATAAAATCGACAGTCAGAATGGCTCCTGATTCCCTACAAGGGAGCCAAAGGACAGCTTTAAGTAAAAGGAAAAACATACATAAATTTCTCATTTTTAAGAGACTTTGTGCTGCCCTCATGAGGTTAGACAGCTTTCTCTTCTTAAAGGGGCAATATAATGTATCTTTAGCTTTACATCATGTTATAATTTTATTCCCTCATCAGAAATATACTTGGAGTGTTGCTTTTGGTTCTTTCTAGCATGTTTGAGAACCGTTTAGCTAGCTAGTACATTGATCTACGCTAAAAATAAGTACAGTTGTACAATTTATCAAAAAAAAAAAACATGCCACCATTGCTTAACAGTCTTCCAACCACAAAAATACGTACAAAAACGAGATTTTTCCAAGGTACAAATCGTAAAATGTTTACTTCCTCCTAAGTGCCTAAATTCTTGTTGGCAAGGTTACTGGAGAGAAATGCCTCAAAGATAGTTTTCTTCCAAGAGCGCTCACTCGGTCATGTTTCTGAAAATGTAATACCACAAAAAAAAAAAAAAAAAAAAAAAAAAAATTCAAAAATGCTTGTAACACTCTTATCAAATTTCAAACCTCTAAACTTGTAACCACTCTTGGCATTAATTTATTCATGCCATTAGCTGACTCAGAACCTATTTTCCAACTTATTCGTTTAACTTATTTTCACTATGAACAAATAGAGTATTTGGCCAAATGGCATGACACTCTAGTATGATGCAGATTTTGTTCAATTGTCACGAAGTCTAACTTATGGAAATTATAGAAAACTATAATTTCCATAAGTTATTATAATTATGGAAAACTGAGCCTTGTCATATTTACTTACATTAATTTAAAATTATTTGATAAAAAGAAAAGTTTTACTATTTTTATCATCACACTGACTTACTATTTCTTGATTGCCAGGTAAACTGACCTGTGCACAAACCGCACAGTAAGGTTGTTTGGATGTCAAACTATGAAAAAGCGCAAAACGTTTCTCAACCTTTATGCTCATTAACAATATATGTGATAGCTAAATAAATCTAAAAATCTCACCAACCAGCTGCAATAAGCTTGATGTACCCAGTAAAGCTTATTACTCCAAAATGCAGTCAACAGACACTAGAAATATTCGCTTAAAACAAATACATTTGAAGAGCATAAGTAAATCAGAAAAGTATACTCTGATTTAAAAAAAAAAAAACTTCCAGTCTCACTCACCTTTAGTTGAAGGGAGCACTAACATCCGGGTCACATTCACTAATCAGTAAACACATGTTTGTTGGGACTTTCAAGGGCTCTAAAAAAAATTGTTAAATGGAACCTGTTTGCGCATGAGTATCAGTGCCGGGGCCATATGCTGCAGAAAGTTGACCTCCCTGTTTTAATTTCCTCTACTGAAAACATTGAACAGCGCGTTCACCTTTTACCCACAGCCACGCTAAGCTGTGCTGTCGATTCTCTTCCGGTCTTGTGCGAAATTCGGTTCCCCTGTGAAAATCTGTTCCCCCTGCGTCAGGAGCGCGCATTACAGCCAGAGAGGCGAAAGAGGCGGATCTGATCATTTTCATGTTGTTGATTATAAGAGAAATAAGCAGAGAAAAAAAAATGTCGCTGGTAAGTGCAGTTGTTCCCATTTTATGGAGGGGGAACGGAATATTTTAGCCAGCTGAAATATATGGTTCCCCCCTCATATCTCTGGCAAACAAGGAGCAAATGCTACCAAAATCACAGGATTTATTGTTGATGATGAGAGGAATAAGCAGAAAAAAAAATCTTGCTGGTAAGTGCAGTTATTCCCGTTTTATGGAGGGGGAACAGATTATTTCAGGCTGCTGAATCATCCATTCTTTCCTCTCCTTACTCCATAACCTTGGGGAATAAAGAACAACTGTTTCCAAATTGTCAAAAACCTTTACATACACACTACGTGTTGGGAAAACTGTGTTTGGTGACTGACTTATTTCTGCCAGGCTTACGTGAGAAAAGTTGGAAAAAGAGCGATTCTCTTGGTGTTTAAAATAACACAAAACAGCGTCAGAAGACCTCGTTTATTTATTTATTTTTTAAAAAATTTAAACAACAGCTGCAAATTAAACTGAGTGTTACAACATTGACATGGTTATATTAGTTGTTTTTACCGAGAAATCGATCAGAAGCGACGTGGAAATGATCAGATCCGCCTCTTTCGCCTCTCTGGCTGTAATGCGCGCAGGGGAACCGAATTTCGCACAAGACCTGCAGTTTCTGACGTCAGAGCGACGTAGCGTGCGCACGCAACAACCGCGAAAAAATAAAAACAACAAGTGCGGGATATTTTAGTTGCTAATTTAGAGGTAGCTGAATAAACAAGAAACAAGGTGGACAAACATGGAGGGAGCGTCGACGAGGGGTAGGCCGGAACCCGGAAGATAACTTCTTGTTAGCTTGAAATAACTTTGTTTCTGCGACGCTAGCATGTTAGCCGTCGCTGAATTCATTTCGGGGATTGTGAAAGTGTTTCCTACCTTCAGGTGTTTTGAGCCACCTGAGTCTGCTGGAAGTTCAGGCCCGGAGCCGGGGAAGTCAGGTCCCACAGCAGCCGAGTCGAGTGAAGGAGCTAAAGGCTAAAGTTGAAGCGTTGACCTCGCAGAGAGACCAGCTGAAGGCAGAGCTGCAGATACACAAGGTGAAGCTTCTTCTGAGACTCTGAGCCAATGGCTGCGCTTTTAAACAAACGTATTTAGACGTTGCACGCAATTATGCTGTAATATTTTCTTGCTGCCTCTTTGATTCTGGTTTGTAGCTGCAGAATTTTGAATGTACAGATTTTTCTTTGGCCAAAAAAGATATTGGGCCTGAAATAAAAACGTGGATCGGGGTTTTTTTTTGTCTCCTTCATCCATTAATAATCTAATTTCTTTAATTTAGAGATGGAAAATCATAAGCCTTTTTCAGGGAGACTCGAAGCAAAAAGCACAAGACTCAACTCCCCCAAATCCTGACCTCAGAGTTAAGCCACGGCATCCTTGAGTAAATAATATTTTGTCTATGTTTGCATCCCCCTCTTGCAGAAGCTTCAGAAACTGAGAGCACCTGCAGGCAAATTGCAAGAAGATGGAGAAGACGAGGAAATGGACGTAGACTCGGAGAGCTCAGAGTTGTTCCACCTGATGGCCAGACACTCTGAGCTGACGGATCTTCTTCATGCTCACAACCTTATTGGTAATGGTGACATATGAGTTTAATTTTTTCAAATTTGCTCGCTACCTAATTGCTGTTATTTATTCGCCCACTTTATTTGCTAGGTGGGTATGACACCGTCGCAACAAACAGAGGGAAAGGCATGTGCTTTTCCCTGACGACCGAGTACGAGGGTGTATATTTGGACACCTACAACCTGGAGCTCAACCTGAAGCCAAACGTTAGGATCAGCCGCCACAACATCCCGCCTTTCATTCCTCTGAACAGCCTGGCTGAGCAGAGCGACTTGCAAACCGACCTCAGGGCTTTCCTGGCCACAGTCAGCCAGCATCTGAATGCGTTTGCAGGCCGCAGGCAGCAGCTGAAGCTTGTGAAGGTGCCAGATTTATGTAAAAATAATGTTGTAAGAGTACAGATAATTGTTTCATGTTGAACACAACTAGCATTTGTTAGAAATTGTTCACACTCTCTTAGTGTTGTGGTTGGCAACACTAAGTTGACCAAATGTTGGTCAAATAGACTATTTATTTATCGGTGTGCACATGTAGGTATTTTGACCTTAACCACTAACAGATTTGTCATGGTTTACTTTTCTAACATACAAATTTCTGTTTGTTTTTTTAAATAGTGGTGTGTACACCTTTAAGAGCCCATTGAAGAACCTTAGTTACAATATAGAAGAGCTGAAGCTTCTGGTGCTGAATGAGTATGCTGATATTTTCCTCTTGCCTATGCTGCAGGAGCAGCATAAGTCCGTTGAAGTGATGGAGAGCAATCTGTTGTGTTCGATACTGGTGCTGATGTTCACTGTGCCCAAGGAGAAGACACCCTTGCTCTGCACGTTGGAGTACACTGACCACACCAGGTGTCTTCCTACTGGAGTCCACCTGAACTGCGAAGGTAAGGTTATTGTTCACTGTGATAAACAGACAGACTTTGGAACTGTTTTTATAGTTTTAGAGAGAACGTGAGACCTCAAGATTTCTTTTTGGAATGTTAGTCCTTTAATCCTAGTACCGTTTTTCAGGCGATAGAAGACTGACTTTGTAATTGTCTTTATGTCTCCATGAAAGTTCAGGGCTGGATTCACAGCTACCCCCAGAGTTCAGACCTGATGAGTACTTTGTAATATGTTTTAAAATCTAAAATATTCTAGTATTTTATATTTATTACAATTGCACATGCAACTTTTTATATTCTCTTACTTAGACTAAAGTAAATAATTTTTGTAAAGTCTTTTATACATGTGCGCTTTTGCAGACGAACTACTTCCCAACTCTTCCAAGTGGAAGAAAAACTGCAGCCTGCTGATGGAGGTTCCTGTGCACAGAGCTATAACGGCCATAAAGAAAGCTAGCGATATTGTTTAATTTATTCTCCAGTATCTAAATTATAACTGTTGGATATACATAGTACAGAAGTTTGCTCAAAAGGTCAGTTTTGTGTAAAATTGACTTTTTTTTTTAACCTTTCAGCATGTCACAATGTTTTTCCCTCATCACAAACTGTCGCGCTGCCCTCTGTCATATGAATTTAACAATCTCCTCTCTATTATTGTTTCTGTCATGGAAGCATTCTGCAGGTGCAGCTCTGCTGTTTATCCAGCGTTTTTTAGTTTATTCTGGAGCTGTAGCGCCCCCTTCTGGTTCAGGACTAATATCTCAATTCTCCCTTCAGCACAAGTCCACTATATAATTGTTCCATCGTCTCCAAGAACTGAAAGAAGAAAACTTTCCATTTTTTTCTAGTTTTACTTTTGTTATTGCTAAGAAGCAAATGTTTTCTTTCTTTAGTGTGTGCAGTTTTCATAAAACAGCATAACAAGCAAATCTGCTCTTTGTCTTTGCATGGTGAGATTATACTGTATGTTTGGGAAGAAATTAACACATCCAGTTACTCAATGCACAGACATATTTTCCAGATTAACACTTGAATTGCACATAAATACACGAATTGCCTTAATCCATGAAACATTTATGATTAAATGGGGAGCCATCCATTTATTGTTTAAATATTGTCCAAAAGGTTTATTTGATTTCATGTTGAAAAAAAAAATAGCACAAGGAAATGTTTTGATTTATTCATATTCACATGTCCTGGAAGTGAGAATAAACATGATGGTACATACTATATTGTATTTGTGTATGTGGTGCCTACTATTATTGATGAAATGAAGACAAAGTTGATGAAACCTGAACACAAAGATGAACATATTGAAATACAAATTTTTTTACTGCCAGAAAATAAGTTGTTTTGTGATGTAAACACCCTACATCTTATGTCAGCAAATATGAACACTAGTCACATTACATGACTGAAGTGAGTCATTAAATTTAGTGAAAAATATTAAGTCTTTCTGTGTTTTTTTGATTATGGTTTATAGATAGAGAACGCCCAAATTTTGTCTCAGAAAATGAGACTATTGTTTAAAAGACGTAAATTAATAATAAAACAACATATTCAGAGAAGGTTAAGTGGAAGGGAAATGTAAAGTGGGAAAAGCTCTAACCGAAACAGGGATACAGTTAGGGCCAGAAATATTTGGACAGTGACACAGGTTTTGTTATTTTAGCTGTTGACAAAAATATGTTCAGAAATACAATTATATATAATATGGGCTGAAAGTGCACACTCCCAGCTGCAATATGAGAGTTTCCACATCCAAATCGGAGAAAGGGTTTAGGAATCATAGCTCTGTAATGCAGAGCCTCCTCTTTTTCAAGGGACCAAAAGTAATTGGACAATGGACTCCAAAGGCTGCAAGTAACTCAATAGGCCTTTCCCTCGTTAACCTGTAATCAAGTAAGTAGTTAAAAGGTCTGGGGTTGTTTCCAGGTGTGTGGTTTTGCATTTGGAAGCTGTTGCTGTGACCAGACAACATGCGGTCAAAGGAACTCTCAATTGAGGTGAAGCAGAACATCCTGAGGCTGAAAAAAAGGAAAAAATCCATCAGAGAGATAGCAGACATGCTTGGAGTAGCAAAATCAACAGTCTGGTACATTCTGAGGAAAAAGGAATTGACTGGTGAGCTTGGGAACTCAAAAAGGCCTGGGCGTCCACGGAAGACAACGGTGGTGGATGATCGCCGCATACTTTCTTTGGTGAAGAAGAACCCGTTCACAACATCAACTGAGGTCCAGAACACTCTCAGGGAAGTAGGTGTATCTGTCTCTAAGTCAACAGTAAAGAGAAGACTCCATGAAAGCAAATACAAAGGGTTCACATGTAGATGCAAACCATTCATCAATTCCAAAAATAGACAGGCCAGAGTTAAATTTGCCCAAAAACACCTCAAGAAGCCAGCCCAGTTCTGGAAAAGTATTCTATGGACAGATGAGACAAAGATCAACCTGTACCAGAATGATGGGAAGAAAAAAGTTTGGAGAAGAAAGGGAACGGCACATGATCCAAGGCACACCACATCCTCTGTAAAACATGGTGGAGGCAACGTGATGGCATGGGCATGCATGGCTTTCAATGGCACTGGGTCACTTGTGTTTATTGATGACATAACAGCAGACAAGAGTAGCCGGATGAATTCTGAAGTGTACCGGGATATACTGTCAGCCCAGATTCAGCCAAATGCTGCAAAGTTGATCGGACGGCGCTTCACAGTTACAGATGGATAATGACCCCAAGCATACAGCCAAAGCTACCCAGGAGTTCATGAGAGCAAAAAGGTGGAATATTCTGCAATGGCCAAGTCAATCACCAGATCTTAACCCAATTGAGCATGCATTTCACTTGCTCAAATCCAGACTTCAGACGGAAAACCCACTAACAAGCAAGACCTGAAGCTGCGGCTGTAAAGGCCTGGCAAAGCATTAAGAAGGAAACCCAGCGTTTGGTGATGTCCATGGGTTCCAGACTTAAGGCAGTGATTGCCTCCAAAGGATTCGCAACAAAATATTGAGAAAAAACTTTTTTGTTTGGGTTATGTTTATATGTCCAATTACTTTTGAGCTCCTAAAATGTGGAGTGTTTGTAAACAAATGTGTACAATTCCTACATTTTCTATCACATATTTTTGTTCAACCCTTTAAATTAAACGTTACAATCTGCACTTGAATTCTGTTGTAGAGGTATCATTTCAAATCCAATGCGGTGGCATGCAGAGCCCAACTCACAAATATTGTGTTACTGTCCAAATATTTCTGGCCCTAACTGTAACTGATGAAATAGGTTACAGATAATCTTAACCAGACTTTGAAGCAAAATCCTTTAATGATTTGAGTGAGCTTCACAAGGAGCGGACAGAGAGCCACTTTACAAAAGGTTCTCCAACATATGGGCTACAACCCAACACAAAGACTTCTATGACCTCACAAACCTCTGTGACTGCATAGGCCTCCGATTGCATAGGCCTCTGTGACCTCACAAACCTCTGTGACTGCATAGGCCTCTGTGACCTCACAAACCTCTGTGACTGCATAGGCCTCTGTGACCTCATAGACCTCACAGACCTCTGTGACTGCATAGGCCTCTGTGACCTCATAGACCTCACAGACCTCTGTGACTGCATAGGCCTCTGTGACCTCATAGACCTCACAGACCTCTGTGACTGCATAGGCCTTTGTGACCTCACAGACCTCTGTGACTGCATAGGCCTCTGTGACCTCACAGACTTCTGTGACCTCACAAGCCTCTGTGATCTCATAGACCTCACAGACTTCTGTGACCTCACAAGCCTCTGTGATCTCATAGACCTCACAGACTTCTGTGACCTCACAAGCCTCTGTGACCTCACAGACATCTGTGACCTCATAGACCTCTGTGACCTCACAGACCTGTGACTGCATAGGCCTCTGTGATCTCACAGACCTCTCTGACCTCAGACCTCACAGGCCTCTGTGACCTCATAGACCTCACAGACTTCTGTGACCTCACAAGCCTCTGTGACCTCACAGACATCTGTGATCTCACAGACCTCTGTGACCTCATAGACCTCACAGGCCTCTGTGACCTCATAGACCTCACAGACCTCTGTGACCTCAGACCTCACAGACCTCTGTGACCTCACAAGCCTCTGTGACCTCACAAGCCTTTGTGACCTCACAAGCCTCTGTGACCTCACAAGCCTCTGTGACCTCATAGACCTCACAGACTTCTGTGACCTCACAAGCCTCTGGACCTCGACATCTGTGATCTCACAGACCTCTGTGACCTCATGAGACCTCACTGGCCTCTGTGACCTCACAAGCCTCTGTGACCTCATAGACCTCACAGACCTCTGTGACCTCAGACCTCACAGACCCTGTGACCTCACAAGCCTCTGTGACCTCACAAGCCTCTGTGACCTCACAAGCCTTTGTGACCTCACAGTCCTCTGTGACCTCACAAGCCTCTGTGACCTCACAGTCCTCTGTGATCTCATAGGCCTCTGTGACCTCATATGCCTCTGTGACCTCATAGGCTCATGTCTTTTTGAGATGTTGCTGAAAAACATCAAACAATATTTGTTTGATGTTTTTCAGCAACAGAGGTAAATCCAACTTTTTTGTTATGTTTATTGAAACTAAATAGTAGTTTCAAAGTAAAGTAAGGCAAAATAAAAACAAATTATACGACAGAAACAAACTGCTAAAGGCCACAGCAGAGAAGTTTTTTGTACTAGTTCAGCTTTTTAGTTCTGTTTTTAGATAAAGGAGAGGATATTTTTTAAGAGACAGTGACAATAAAACATTTGGGTTTATCTCGATTTTTATGCTTTTTTTTTCTTGTCGTTTTTATATTTTTTTGTTTGGTTTTTCAAGTGAAACATAAAATTGTGTGAAAAGAAAAATGTCTTTCAAAAAGAACTGAACTGAACTCAAAAAGAACTGAACTGAACTCAAAAAGAACTGAACTGAACTGAAAAAGAACTGAACTGAACACCGGTGCTTTTTTTCTTTTTGGTCTTTTTTGGTTTAATTCAGTGTTTTATTTAGTGTGTGTTTTCAACAGAGCTCAATAATATCTTCCACAGTTTAGATTTTTCCAAGTTTCTTGTTGTGCCCTGAAACTTTGGAACTCAAAGAACCTGTTGACAGAAATGATATTTGGATTTCTGTTATTAGACTGAGCTGAAAGATTTCGTCTTTCAACTTCTGATCTCCTACAATTTTGGACATTCCTGTTTCCACTTTGTCCTCCAGACCTTTGTGGACCAGGAAAGCAGATGGACCCTTGGTCTGCTGACTGCAACATATTTCCTCTGGACCTTGTCTGATTCCATGTGTGATAATGTCCTCTCCATTCCTGCTGTGGAAACTGTCTTTGGTTCAGCGGCGGCCTTTTGCAGTGGTTACTCTGGCCATTTGCAAAGTCATTGCCAGGATGGCGTTGATAAAAGTTTGGAGTTTGTTGTCTGAAGTTGGGTCTTTTATCCTTCGGAGCAGTGGCCCTATTCTTCCCAGGACACTTTCTCTGAGTTTGTACCTGGGAGAAACTCTTTTCGCTGTTGAGTCCCTCATTCCTTTGATGCCAGCCACTGAATCTAGTGTTGGACTTCTTCATAAAGTTGCTCCCATATTTCTGTTGGGTGGAAGCCACCATTCTGGACCAGTGTGGCTCCTGTCTTTTCGACAAGTCAGACAAATCCCTGCGGGGGGTCCCACCATGATTTTTCCAAGACTGCAAACTTACCAGTTTTCTGTCCTCAGTGCAGTCCATGGATTCGTCTTCCATCACTGATTTGGGAACCTTCCTAAAGCGTGCAAGAAGTTCATCCCTGCATTTTTTACGCAAAGCCCACAAACCAAACGAATCCTTGCTGGGAATGGCAGCCGGGTTTCTGTGCCGGATTCTGACGCTTGCAATCTTGTTGAACTGCTTTAATATCGCAGCCATATTTAGCTGACTTGAGACAACGTCAGCCACTTCAAACAGCTGACCTTCCTCCTCGGTGATCAACTTTGTGATCCCTCTGTATCGAGCGAGGATGTCATACCTGAGGTTTTTACGCCGCGCCCACAAATCACTGGGGTTGCTTCCTCTCATTTTCCAGTCTTTGCTCAGACCGTAGCTACGTTGCTTTTCCATGTTTTCAGCGTTTATATTCTGATAATTCAAACGGTCGTCTCAGCCCTTTCCAAATACTTGGACGTATTTTGGGATCAAAGAAATGAAATTTGCTCCTTGCGCGCCTGAAT